GGAATTCTCTGTCCCCCCTCCCCCCAGGTCAGGATAACTCCTCTATTTTATCATTGAGGAAGAGGAAAATAATCCTGGTATAGATCACCAGAGCAAATCTAGAACGTATAAAGGCACTTCAGATTTATGACTGAAATATGAACAAGAAAGGATATTTTATAATGTTTGGCGGAGGTGTAAATAAACAAGGAAGTTCTGGGTTCGAATACATATGTTGCTTTAGAGGATTTTAAAGATTGAGACCAGAGGTTTTCTTTTGGGATTCATGGACAGTCAGAAAAAAGTCCATGGAACTTTGTTTTTGTGCATGATAACTGTAGCAAAATTGTTGTATGCACCATGTTGGAAAGACCCAACACCATCCACAATGAAGGAATGGCCGAATATGATGGAAGTTGCTGAGATGGCTAAATGGACTTTTTATCAGAGAAAAAAGACTCTACATTTCTACATTTACTGCTGACTGGAAACCCCTTAAGGACTTCTTGTGTAGAACAGAAAAAATGAACTTATGATTTATGGTTTAGATCAGGGGTCCTCAACCCCTGGGCCGTGGGCTGGTACCAGTCCAGGCCTGTTAGGAACTGGGCCGCACAGCTGGAGGGGAGTGGTGGGGGAATGAAACTGCACAGACACGGGATTTAGGTTGTGTGCTCCTCCTGCTGGTCCGTGGAAAAATGGTCTTCCACAAAACCAGTCCCTGGTGCCAAAAAGGTTGGGGACTGTTGGTTTGATTATTAGACAGGATAGGTTATAGTAAGAGAGTTAAATTGTAACCACAGAGTTAACGGGTAATTTTATAATTGTACTTAAAGCTGTACTTAAATTGTACTTTAAAAAAATCAGTAGCTACTTTTTTCTCCTTCTTGCACTTTTAGCTTTCTCCTCAATTTATTTTCTTTTTCTAATAATATGTATTAGATTTTAATCTTTTAAAAAATTCTTTAATAAAACGATGGAGAGTCCTTAGTAATTGACATCAGTGGAAGATAATTTCGTTTAATATTATAAGCTGTCTAGATTCTAGGGAGTTGGTATACAAACTGATGTAATGCATACATACATTCTAATAGGAAAAGTGCAACTTCTTTCCAATATTAACAGAAAGGAATCAGTGTTGAAAATACATATGTTACATCATAACAGTAAGGAATATAACCCTGACTGGTTAATTATGTAATATTTAGAACATATTATTTGGTGAGTTTAAACATGAAAATATCTGCCAGCTTTCCTGTGCTCTAGGAAAGTACAATATTTGGCAGTGTTCCCTAAAAGGCCTTTTGCCACTGGTTGTCCTAGTAGGTGTGATCAATTAAAAGAAACAAACACCCATTTCTTAAGTCAAAGTAATGAGGACATTCCATAGTCCTGCAGGACACAGATGACCTTTGCCTTTTTCTCAGGGCTTCTGTACATATTTTCAAACAAAGCAGGATTTTGAAGCTACCTCTCTTTTTATTTTTTAAACAGCCAACAGAATTCATCATGAAGCCCAAAGGCAATCTTGTAAATAAGAAACTGGTGCTTTGGTTTATGATCTAAAATGATATTAAAGAAACTGAGCTAGGTTGGAATTCTGATGTGTCAAGGTAGGTGTCCATAAGCTCATTTAAAATGACAACAGTTGTGAAAATCAATAATTAGCATCCTATATTAGCAAGTTTTTTCTAAAAAAAAAATGTACGGACCTCTCTCAAAAGTCCAAATTGTTATGATTACTACAGGGAAATCCTAAAAAGGAGATTTTACATGGTACTGTTGACCCATCTGAGATCCCTCCTGGTCACTTTGTTGAGTAAAACAGAACTATTTACAGATTTCTTTTAAAAAATGTATTCTAACATTTATACTAATCCTCCTGTTGTGGAATAGAGTACTGTACACATAACAATTTTAAAAAATGGGTATTTCATTATTTAAGCTAGATCAAGACAACACATTTAAGTAGTCTGAATTAGCTTAAAAAGTAAACATGGCTTTGGAGTGTATCACTCAGCAAACCTGACTTTCATCTTGAATTTCTTACTGTGGCCAAGAAAAAAAGCTTAGTGTTTTACAAAGCCTTTTCTTTCTGGAAGCTGTATAAAAGACATAAAAGTTTATGTTGATGAAATATGCAAACAAATATAAAAAAGAAAAAAAGTTTCGGTAGCATTGGTATACCTAAACCACGAATAATATTTTGTTTGGAAACTTCACAGTTCTAGATATAGAAACATAAAATTTGTTGTCAAAGAAGTCTAAAGCAAAAGGAACACTAGCCAGAACTATGACAATATGTTTGTAAAGAATATACGTTGAATTATGAGCAGTGATTTTTTCCCCCATAATATGTCAGAGACAAAAAAGAAAAGAAAAAGGAAAAAAGGGGGAGAGAAACAGCATTTAACAAAAATACAATTACTTTACAACTTTTTCATATAAAAATCCAATCCTATCTTATATCGTGAAATTGAAAAGGCAACTAACAAACATAAATAACAACACTAAGCAATCACAAGCAGTGAGTCATCAATCTGTAAATTATAGCATACACACATTGAAGGTGACATTTTAATCACTTTGGATATTTGCTGGCTGAACAATTAACAGGTAATGAATGGGGCAAGCCTTAGAAATGCTAGGCGGTTATCTGTTAACAGTCATCTCTGTACACAAGAAAAATACACATGCCTTCTTAACAGCCAAGAAAAAATGCAATTTATTAAGTTTCAAAGAATCTTCGTACTCTTGAAAGCAACTTCTGGTGCATGTTTTAACAATCACATTCTATGAGGAGAAATAACATTAAAAGCCACAAACTTTTAAAAACTTTTCATCTCAGAGTTACAGACATCTTGAATTCAAAATGAAAGGCAAAACATTAAAATAAAATAAAAAATAAAAATTCGACAGGAATTATTTTAAAAATGTCCATCTCCAATTTCAAATGATTGTGAGTTCTTTTTCTACAATTCATTATTAAACTTTAGCATGGAAAATTGTATTGACTATTTCAATCCGCACATAGGCACATATGTATTTTATATATAAATATGTGTGTGTGTGTGTATCTGTATATGTTAAAAGAGATATATATACACAATACATATGTAGAGTGCGTGTAATGAGGATGAGATGCAATCGCTCTGAGAAAAGAGTATTCAGCTAAATACACTACGAAAACTTGAGAAAACACAAGTCTGGAACCCAATCTGTGCATAGTTCATGATCCTCTTTAAAAAAACCAGCTTTTGTTGATTTGCAATTTTGCAGGACCCTTTTTAATTCGACAAAACCATTAAAAAGCTAACCTTTAACAAAACAAAACAAAACGTAATGCACAAGTTTCCTGATCCAAGCAGTCAGGGAGCACAATGTTCATATAATTTTTAAAAACATACTCAAAGGGTATGTTATTCCATTGTCTTTCTTCCTTTCAAAACAATCAAAAACATTGATCATTTTTTAAACATAAAGCAATTTTTAATATATAAAGCACTCTTCAAACATCTATTTCTTTTGAGTCCATTATTTGGTAAATATGTAACTGCTACACATTAGATTAGGTATTTTTCTTCTTCTCTTACTGTCTTTTTTATTTTGTTTTTTGTTTTTTTTTTAATAATATCTTCAGTGCTAGGAGTTGGGTTTAAAAAATACATGAAATGGTGTGGAGTTGCTCCTCGGGAAACCCGGCTTTCCTGAGACATCTTCCACCATGTGCAAGATAGTGATCACAATATTTTTCGCCACTCTGACGAAAATGAGGAGGAAAAAAAAAAAAAAAGAGTACACAGCAATGGCCAAAGAAAAGGATCAACAACAACAACAGTAACAACAACAGTAACAACAACAAACACTGTTCAATCCCAGAGCTCTGAAGTAGCATATCTTCATTCTGAAAATAGGTTTCTTTATGATGGAAGTCTTTTTTTTTCTTTTTTTTTAATTCCTTTTTTTATTTTAAAGTTTGAAGGAGAAAAAAAAAAGGTTTGTAAACAGGCGGGAGCTGAAATCGTAGGCTCCTCCAAAAGCAGTCAAAAACCTATGTCCAAGTGCTTGTTTCTGTTCCAGCTTGCAGGGAACCATCCACTCTTTACAAGTATTTATGGCCACAGTTCAACAAGAGTTTTTTTTTTCCTTTTTTTTTTTTTTTAAACTTTATATTCCGAATGGGAAAAAAAATGGTGCAATACTCCGGTAATTATTTTCTTGCATTAGTCCACAATAAAAAGCTGCTAAAGGTAGATATACATATTATTCTCCAGAGATACACACTGTAAGTTTTTAAAATGCAGTAAGAGTCCTTGAGTAAACATTTACACGTGAATTGTCGCCAGCCCCTCCTATCAGTTTTTTTTTTTAATTTTTATTTTTAAAAAAACAAGTAGGATTAGCTACAAGGAGGGCTGTGGACACTCAGTGCAAAGTTAGAAGCTAATAACAATTAAACATTTGACCGATAAGCAAATCAAAAGCATATACTGAAAAAGAAGGAAAAAAAAAGGTCACACAATTTGTTAAGTTGTACACCTGGCACACGCACACATCCATACATTCATACATCAGTTCAACTTGTCCCCAATGCATACATGTAAGAAAGAACCAAAAAAACAAAAACCTAAAAAAAAATAATCCGAGAGCCTGTTCTTTTGTTTTCTGATACCAACCTGGAAGTGTAATAATAGAAAGTGTTCACATTTTGTTATTGGCCTGCTGGATTCAAGTATAATTGCATGTTTGATATGTTAAATTTTTCTTTCTTTCTTTCTTTCTTCTTTCTTTCATTTCTTTTTTTTATTATTTAAAAAAAAGACCTTTGAACTATTTGGGGGGAGAATTAAAAAAAATGACACAAAAAGTAATGAAACAAGTGTAATGTGCATAGGCAAGACCCACGGGAGTAGTGGACCTGGATATTCCACCCCACCTCTCGATCCAAGTCATCCAGCCAAGGGGGTTTAAGATTTGTTCCCCAATAGCTGCTGACAAGCTGGTCAGATGCCACCCCCACCCCACCCCCACTGATTACTGGATCCGCCTCTGGTAATGTGCATAATTATCACAGGCTCATTTTAAATAGGCTTTCTCACCTCCCCTTCATCCCAACCCCAACTTCCCCAAGTTGATAAAATAACCCTTTCCAGCCCAAATTCTGAAAAGTGCCCTTCATGATAGAACTAGTCTAAGCAGCTTGTATACGTCTTTAAAAACACCATACAAACATAAAAATAAAATTAAAAAGCCGTTTGGAAAAAAAAATCCACACAAAAATCTATCATTAGCACATGACACTGACCAAAGGGAGCCCATACTGTTAACGCAAACAGTTCACAAGGGACTCCCGCAGAGTTTCATAGTCAAGATTAGACAGAGGTACTAAAAAAAGGGCTGCCAGTCTGATCTATTAAAGCTGGATCCTTCGTGCTGCCCTGGACTGGAAAGGGTTACTGGTTGTTTTTTTTTTTTTTCCTTTAGTGCTGATGATTGTTACTTCCATTTTGTTTTTCTGGCATCCTAGATGGATTCTCCGCTGAGAAGATCCCCTGGGAGCAGAGTATTCAAAGGCGTTGGGCTTCCGATAACCCTGCCATCATCGGTGCTGGGAGGTCCCCAAAGGCTGCTTGAATACTGAGGGACCCCACCCCAGAGCAGATCACTGCTCCCTTTCCCACCAAGGCAGGGGGTATTCCAGTGGCCTGCATCGTTGCGCACCATTCCATGAGAACTGCTTGTGGAGCCCAAACGTGTCTGAGTGGTTCCAGTGTTGGGCTGCCAACTGGAAGTGGGGGGCAGTGGCTGGCCTTGTGCTAAAAAACGGTTCACTTCCTCTTCTCCAGCAAACTCAGCCAAGATGGTAGTGTTCCCCAAAACGCACCTGAAAACACAAAGGAAAACTGCTGAGGCATACTGCAGTATAGACATTCTCACCGCAGTAAAGACATTTCCTTAGATATGACTTAAAAGCTAGAACATTTGATTGTGAAATAACCAAATATTACAGTGGCAAACCTAACCGGGAAGTTTTGAATATGGGATGTAACATTGTGGACATTTAGACTGATCCCAGAGGGAAGTCTTAAGCAGAAAAAATCTTGGTTTAGTTTTTTTTTTTTTTTAAAAAAATAGGATTGTAAAATAAAATTGATTAGTCGCATAACGCCCTACCCTTCTAGATGCCATCTTTCTTTGTTCAGTATTCGTGCTTCCTTTTTACTGTCTAAGGCAGGGGTAGGCAACCTTGGCTCTTTTATGATGCATGGACTTCAACTCCCAGAATTCTTGAGCCAGCCATGCTGAGGGGAAAGGAAGAGGTTTCCAAGCTGAGCCATGCTGGCTCAGGAATTCTGGGAGTTGAAGTCCACGAGTCATAAAAGAGCCAAGGTTGCCTACCCCTGGTCTAAGGCAATCATTAAATATATCACAAGCCCCAAGTGAGCATGCCATTCTTGAAAAACAGTAAATACTGAATAACATAACATACATGTGCAGAGACTTCTGAGCCTTGGCTGCTTCCTCCTTGGAACTGTATCGGACCACAGCATTCCCTTGAGTCAGGTTCAGATGGAATGTAATAAGAGGACCATGTTGCAAGCATAGAGTACGCAGTGTCGAGCCATCAATCTAATTGGGGAAAGCGGGGGAAAAAAAAGTGTGAGCGATTTCTCTCCTCCCCCAGTTTGGCATTACTATTTTGACAAAGGAAGAGTAACTCATTAGTAAAAAGTCAAAAATGTATCTTAAAAAAAATATCCATAAAACAAAGTAGATGTCTCCCAGATATTTAGTGTATCGATGAAGCATCTATTTCATCCTCCACTCTCCCTACCTGAACAGGCGCACCTACCACTGAGGTATTTCTGGAGCTTCCCTTCAGGGACATGTTACTTTTCTTCAAACTCTGCTGCCTACAGATTAGAATGTTACCATTCCTAGTTGCCTTCAGAAAAGTGATGGGAGGTCACCAGAGTTCTGAAGAATACACTTTTGAGTGGTACCACCAGCCTGAAAATAAGACACTGAGGTGCTTCCTGTTCAAGAAGCCACCATTAGTCTCAGACAGTTTGGAATCCTGCCAACAATTTCAAGCTTCCTTTTGTTGTGAAGGTTGTTGAGAAGGTGGTAGGGTTCCAGTTGCAGAGGGTGCTGGAAGAAATGGATTATATGGGCTTTTTCAGCTGGGTGTCAGGCTGAGAGTACTATATTGAAAACACATTGTTTGCTTTTGTCAATGATCTGTGGACAACCAAGATTGTGTGACCTTCCTGATGCTCCTTGATCTCTCAGTTGTGTTCAGAACCACTGATCAGGGAACTGTTCTGGAGTTGAGAGTGGGAAGCAAGTGTTACAGTAGTTGTCCTTTCCCGAGAGCCAGCTCTGGTTGTTGATGACGGGAGGGAAGAATTGAAGCCAGAAGGTGCTGGGACCTGCAGGGCTCAACTCTCTTTCCTCTACTCCTTTACAGATGCATGAAGCCACTGTGAGAGGTTATCTATTGACATGGGGTCAGGTAGCATCAGTTCACTGATGATACTTATTTGTCTATTGAGGCACTGGACTGAGTAGGTGTGATCAAAGTGCTGAATCATTCCCTTGATGCGCTTACGATCTACATGGGGAAGAACATACTCAGTCTCCATCTCCACAAGGCAGGAATGACTGTGAGTTCAGAGGCCTGGTGAGTCTGAGAATATTTTTGGTTCTAGACAGAATTGGGCTCCCTATTTTTAATTGGTTCACCATTCGAGGATCTTCCTAAATTCATTATTCTTGCTCAATGAGCAAATGGCAGCCGTGGCCAACAGGACCTTTGCACAACCCCATCTTGTTCATCAATTTCTACTGGAAAGTACTCTGCATGAGGCTGCCCTTGAATACCAACCAAAAGCTACAACTTAAGAATGCAGCTGCTGAAGTATATGTTGGTGTTCTTCCTGTTGCCTGTGTAACACTTTGAGAACTGCAATGACTAGTGGTGGTCTGGATTTGATTCAAGGTGCTGGTTGTCATCTTTTAATCTCTGCTTGTCATCTTTAAAGGCCTACAAATGACTTAGGATCTGGTTATCTTTAACCGATCTAACACGATCTGCTAATCCAGTAAGGTCAGGGACAGAGGGCTTTCTCAGATATTCTACTCTTCAGAGAATGTAATCATTAGAGAGCCTGAACCTGGGTCCTCACTATTGCTGTCTTTCTCCTATAGAGTAGCCTCCTCCCTGTAATTGCAATAATCCCAGCCCTCCATAAAACCTTCAGTGAGTGAGGTGCAGGTGGCCCTGATGCTTATGCCATTTTAGCACTTAATGAATAAAAATGTCAAGTAGGTCAATCCTACAACTTGCTGCTTTAAAAATAAAATGCTTAAAATAGAAAGCTCCAAGAGTTAAGCTACCAAAACTTCGTAAGACACACCAAGAGCAGAAGGGTCTAAGAATTTACACGTACAATGCTGAATATTTTGTATGGCTCTTCCTCTAATTTACTGTAAATTCATTTACCTGGGGAGTGAGGTTACGGAGAACTAGCCAGCTACTTGTTCTTCCTGAGGTGTCAGTACTCCAGGCTGAGCCTACAACCCAACAAAGAAAACATTAGGGAAAGTCCAACCTAACAATTGAAGAAAAAGAAGAGCAGAAGATACAGGACACAGATCCGATGAATACATTTTTCTAGAAGGACTTCTAATAGGAAATGTATTTTGATCAGAAGATTTAGCAAATGTCTGCTAGCCCTCCTTTCTGACAGATGCAAAAGACTAAAATGCCTCTGCACCACTGAAAGGTGCAGAACAGGTGCATGAGTAAAGCTTTCTTGAATTCCTCTCCTTCCCTCCCTCCATGTCTAATTCCTCACTGAGGAATTTTGCTTGTCGTAAACAGAAACAATGCATAATTTAGGTTTCTCCAATATGATAGTTTACAAATATGTTGGATCAAACTCACAGACTTTCCAACCAGAAATTCTGGGGATTGTGAACCAGTATGTCTGTAGGATAGCCATGAATAAAATATACATAAGTTTTACTTCCCTATAGACAGGAGGGAGAGAGAGCTTAATGGAAAGCTAGTATTTGGCTACAACAATTAACCTTTTGATTGATTCATAGGCAGTTGCCAAGTATCTATTAGCATGCTTGGTATTACAAATGACATTTTAGATTTTGCTTGTATACATTGACTATAAACTTTATCTTATGAGCACTAAGGTTTGAACAGAAAAAAAGCTGAACTCTCTACACTAGTATCCCATGCTTGGAAACCTCTGAGATTTGCAGAAATACACTGAGGATGGGCAAAACATCCATTCCAGCAGTCCTTTGAGAGTGATATAGGCTGACTGACTGACATGAGAATAATCAGGAACTGAGTAAAAGCAGAACAGAATGTGGAAGAGGGAATGAAAGCATGTCTTACCAGATGAAACCCACAATAAAATTACTGCATTTCAGTATAGACTTAACTCATTGACATTTCTATAGTGTATTCTAAGCCACACATTATATATCTCTGATCTATATCATCGATATCTATCTATAAAAGATAGTCTATTCATAGGTATGTCAGTATAGGATTGTAAAACAAATTAAATAATTCAGACTCTAAACAGAAGGCAGATGCATCTGAACTCAGTGATTGACACTGACAATATTGCACTGTCATACTTCAGAGCAGGGGTCTCCAACCTTGGCAACTTTAAGACTTGTGAACTTGAACTCCCAGAATTCCTCAGCCAGGAATTCTTTAGAGGCAAACCAGCCTTGGGAATCAAAGTAAAGAATGCTAAAGTTACTTTTATTATAGGGTTACATCTTCCCCCTCCCTGCTTTTATCTATACAAGAATGAGGGAGGATCAAGACTGATATGCTTTCTCAAACTACACTTCTGCTTTGAATTTAAATTTATCCTATTCTTGTTCCTCAAGGTTATTTTCACAGCCTATTACATACACTAATTTTTAGGTCAACATTTTCCACATTAAAAGTCTAAACACAAAGTAAATATATATTGCTTGTATTTAGCTAAGAAAGAGTTGGATTGATACAGATTCTAATCCACCCTTAGCCAGGAGGTTTGTTGACTGTCTTTAGATTAGTTGTCCCTTTTGGCCCTAACATGGTTGATTTTGTGGAGAAAAACTGGATGAGAAAGCCTTATGGATGCTGCCTTAAACTCTTAAAGGAAAGGCAGATATAATCTATGCAGTTAAGTCAAAAGCAAAAAAGAAAGGAAGAACTCAGGAATACCAGAGGAGTAAGAGCTGGTCCAACCCAATGGGCTGGCACCCCAGGTAGACGATGGCTTGGTGTTCGTTAAGCCTGGAGGTGGCCTTGTAGGAGCTGTAGTGTTCCTGGGAACCTTCCAGAGTTCATGTGACAAAGAGGCTTGTGTGTGAGAAATTGGACCAGAAGACCAGGTTGATTTGATGTCTGACAATTTACCTGTAATAGAGAAATACAATTCATTTATTTGTCAGAATGTGGAGTTTTTGGACAATCTGGGATCCCCAGGTTTCTGCTGTCTATATATAAACACAGTGAATTTCAAACAAACAGTGGTTCATACGTTGCTCATCTTTGTTCATTTTGTTGTTCTTAATGCTTTTTTCAGTTTTCTGCTATGTAAGTTTCATTAATCCATTAAAGATTCTCAAAATGGTCTCCATAAGGCTCTAAAATATGAGATTCATCTGGCATCAAAACTTCAGAATAAATCCAATTATTTACCAGTCTCAAACATATAATACCATTTTACTCTCCCAGCCCCCAACAGAAAAGGAAAGAAACTGCTCATTTTCGCGAAGTTTATAGAAGCTACTTTGTGATCCACAAAGATCTTTGGGAAAGGGTCTGTAACTTTCAGTTAACAGTGTATGCTTCACAGACACAACAATTGGCTTGATTCCTTTGGCTACTGAAGTGTAGAAGCTCAGCAAAAACAAAGTGTGTTCTACAAACCTAATTCCTGAATTACAGGAATAAAACTGAAAGAGCGTTCCTCTCCCTATTAAAAGAGAATGGGAAAGTGAGGATGAAGGATAGCATGCACAACACGAGGAAGGCAGATGAGGAAGATTCTTCAACTTGCTTCTTTTACTATTTTCATTTATCCACTTAGATATCACAGGGAATGAAGAAGAGGGACGTCTCTCAAAATTCTCACCGGGGAGTCCTTACGACTGTAATCATATATTTCTGACTAGTTTTTATCATCACTATCTCAAGTGCGTGAACTTGAATTTCTATGCCAAATATAGTGAAACATCTGAAAGATGATTAAGGCAACCAAGTAATATATTAAAACAGCAATCATATGAATAAACCGTACTTAGATGTCACTTAATAGAAATACAGAGTAACAGATTATCATTGAAATATTTCCCAAAGTCTATAAAGGAAGGTGATTGATACACAGCTTAAAACTGCAATCCTAAATACACTTTCTAATAGATTATATCTACTGAACTGTGCTACAAGTACTGAGTTTCAATAAAAGGAACCCTCCCATTCTATGCCCACCATCTAAGCATGGCTTCTCCTATTGTTTTTCTCAGTTCTTAGCCTTTTATGAAGTACAAAGCTGTAGCTTGTATGAACTAGGTTGCTGCCAAGTTGTTTATTTCTCCATTTCCAGAAAGATCAATTATTTGTACAAAACCAGTAAATTCTGAAAAATTAACTTTAGGATCTGAACCAAGTTTCACCCAAAAGAGAAAAACAGCCACACCAAAGGAAAATGCATCCTAGATAAAATAAATGGCAACTATTTCTTTATTTTAAAACCTTGAACTGATGAGTCAGCAGAACTTCCAGATTTTTATTGTTTAACTGACAATTTTAATTAAATCTTAATGTCTTAAAATTTACATTTTAACTAGAATTCATGGTTATGATGAGTCTATAGAGATTCTCAACCATCCAGGCCATGGTTGTCCCAAAGGTGCTTTTTTCAAAAAGCAATTGGTCTTTTTTGACTTTGAAAGAAACCTTTTGGAAAAAGCACCTTTGGGAAAGTCTGTGGAAGGGGTTACAGATAGTTTGAATCAGTGAAGGTAACAATTATAAAGGCTCATGGGGTGGAGACAAAGACATAGATTTATATGTTGCTGGCAATGGGGGTTTCCATATTTTTTTCCAGGTTACGGTGAAATCTAAACCTTTGAGGTAATTCAGTCTACAAACTAAAATAAAACAATGTTATGACAACAGATTACAATTTTGAAGGATTGATGAGATGTTAATTACCTTGTTTTTAGTGAATCAATTAAAAAGGCATACAGATAGTCCTTGACTTACAACCACAATAGGGACCGGAACATTCACTGTTGTAGTGTGGCTATTAAATGAGGCACCATGTGACCATATTTTATAGCCTTTTTCTGCGACAGTCATTAAGCAAATCACATGGCTGTGATCTGCAACCTTCCCTGACAGCTTCCCCATTAACTCTGCTTGTTGGAAGCCAGCTGGAAAGGTGATTGTGTGACATAGGACAATACAACCATTGTAAATGTGTGACAATTGCCAAGCACCCAAATCACGATTGCATGATTGTGGGAACACTGAAAGAGTTTGCAAGTCATTTTTATCAGCACTGTTGTAAGTTTAGGACTACCTGTAGTACAGAACTATACTACTGGTAGTATTTTGGATGGCTTCCAGAAATTTTAATTCTAGTTCTAATTCTTTAATTATTCCTATTCTTTAATTCTGGGTCCCATCCTGGAAATTGGGGTGTGTGTGTGTGTGTGACAAATTAGCTATGACTAGCAAAAGTCCCACTGAAAGATGACAAATTCACAAGTGCACAAATACAACAAAATTCTTAAGATGAACAAGATTATTGTCTGTTATTCTTGTTTTACACAAAAAATATACATTATGATCCCACATCATATATGTCGCTTTATATTGTTGTTTCCACAATGTAGGCGAGTCATATTTTTCTTACTGTTAGGTACATGATGCCTCTTTTAAAGATATTTTTAATCTTTCTATGCTACCTAGAGTTTCTTGGTGACTGAGGCAGCTAAAAATAAGTAAACAAAGAAAATGTGATAAAAAGCACAAACAAGAGCACTATGTCAGAGTTTAGAGACTGACAAAAGCGCACATAATAATAAAGTGTGCTGCTACTTTCAAGTATCCTTCTCCCGTGTTCTCCTTATAAGTCTCTGAATTCCTACTTGCACTAATGGCCTAAGAATAAAATAGCTGCCAGCACCTTGAAAGCGGCCAGGTGAGCACAAAAGCTGCAGACATTCAGCCTTTCACAAATTGATCATGACTCTCTTCAAGACATAGTGAGTGAGAGAAAGGAAGGGAGAGAGGGCACAGAAGAGCAATAGGCATTGTCTCTTTGGATCAAGTCATTCTCCCAAAATAAAATGCTCAATGTCAGATAGGTGGTGTTCTTTGCTGCATAACTTCTGCTGGCAATTGTGTGTATGCTAGGTATATGAAGAAAGGGTTTATGTCCCGAAATTTTAACAGAAATTAGCACTATACTGAATATCTGTTTCTCATGCTGAAGCAATGCATAGCCTGGTATTGCCAGTCGCATATATATATCCCCATTACACATTCACTACTGCTAAATTTTTAGGACAATTATTTGAACAAAGGAGCCCAGTATGCAAAAGAAGCACACTTGTTGTACCGTCATCATTGCTGCAAAGAGCAGAGGCCTTGTGAAAACCTCCTATCCCAGGAGCCTCTTAGGAGAAAGGCCATTGGTCATACCTGCAATGCTGCTGAAAGAGCTACTGTAGCCGGAGGCACTAAGTGGCCAGGCACTCGATGAAGGCAGCGTGGCATTCTGAGATGATGTTGGGGATGACCCTGCAGAACCAGCAAAGAAGCAACTAAGAAAGATGGGCAGAATGGTGCCTACGATAGCATATGCAATTCTCACACCATCACATGCAAACCAAAACCATGCAAGGGAAGATGCTAGCCCAGCCCTGCCTTTGACGTCTAATCGTGAAAAGTTATAGAGAGCAGGAGCCAATGTACAGTAGGGAGCTCACTATCAAAGGACAACACAATGAGCAAGACGACGGAGTTCGTGCAGAAATATATGTCCCTTAACTGTTCTTAACTCTGTCATATTCAAGATAATGATATTCACTGCCATTGTATCCACAATGTATGAATTGCATATGAAAAAATATGAAAATGCAGCTGTGTTAATTATGACGAGCCTGTCTTGTATTCTATGGTAAGTATTTTCAGAAGAAAATGCACCTCTCTGTCCCATTTGCCTTGAAGAATCCCTGCAATGAGCACCATTGACCAATCTTGTCCCTCGACATTCCTGCTGAAATGGGTGTTCTAGTAAGCCTTGCTATACAACAATGGTGACACTCAATATTATACCACAACACAGGGTAAATTTATGATTGCTGCAAGGAGACACTGAAAACCAAATGTCAGATTCTATGCAACAGATTTGTTGAAAACCGTCCACGTTTAAGACGATCACACTACTACGAACCATCTGGAATTCTAGATCTGTTGTCGTGCGTGTTTCAGAAAGTGACACCAATTATTTTCCAATGCATATATGTGCCTTGGCAGAAAATGCAAACATGATTCTTCTGCCTTCTGCCTGGGCACTTCAAGAAATAAACTTTAGTATAAAGTCTTTCCAAACAGTCCAAACAAATAATGCACAATTTATGATTGTTACTTTACCAATAAAAACATCTATTCTAATAAGACAAGAATGAAAGAAATATCACTTCCACATTTTAACTAGTTTGCAAATCACAAACTACGGTCAAAAATCAGTGCTGAAATGACTGTCTGATTTAGGGGATATAATCCTCTGTTTGAGATTCATGGTCTGCTTATGAAATATTATTATAAAATCTGTGATTGTTGCACATTAGCTGCAAGTAGATTCCGTTTTGAATTCCTCAAACTTTGAACATATATGAAGTGTTTGTTATATGTATTCTAATTAATTTTAATGGCTTTTAACTTTAGCATTTGATGTCTTGAATATTCTGTTGAATGGAAAGTTAGAGTATAAATTAATAAATACATTTTCCACAGAAAACAGATGGCATCATATTCTGCGGAAGCAGCATCTATAAGCACAGGATGCTATTAGGATTCAGTAGAAACTTGTTTTATTCCCACTTCCCACTGCACAGATCATGATGGAACATTAAGATAAGTGACATATTTCTGCATTTTCCCAATATTCCCATCCATGCCACCTTGTCTATACTATACCTAATTCTAAGCATAAGTAACTTGTACTAAATTGTAGAGAGAAAGTGAGCTACAGATAGATTTAAAGATGCTCCATTCTCCCTCATTTATCATGCTGCCTAGGAGAAAGGTGTCTTTTGATACCAATGCCGTAAATGGATAATATTCAAACTATATAAAAATCAGAAAATAAAAAGTGAAAACCTAGATTTCATTCCAATTATAATATAATTAAATTTACACAATTACATCCAGACTTCAGGTATATAATGATGTGGTTACCGCTGGATTTTTTTTAAAAAACACATAAATGTATATTTTTAGTCTTTATTTCACTTTAATATAGTAAATATATAAAACCTGCTTGGAAATCTTGTCCATAGTATCCCTGTCACTCCACTGTGCAAATGTTCTGGATCAGGAAGTAATGGCCAAAGAGAGCTTTTACTCCGTTTCATTGGGAGTAAAATAATTGTGCAGCTGAATTATGAACACACCCTTTAGATCTCTTCTATATCAACAAAGGAAGGCAAAAAAGGAAGACCTTCCCCCCAATTGTACTCTAAAAATCTTGAGCATAGGTCCTTTAATGGGTCCCATGCTTTTAGGAATCTATAAGGAAAGTTATCAACCTGCTAAAAGGATCTCTGTGGTAGTGAATCTAGCTTTCCATATTTTTGCTTAGAGAAAATTTGGATCTATAAAAAACTAACAGGAATAGTAAGAGAACTAGCTGTTTTCCTTTGCTAAAAGTATTGGAAAAAGGATGCTTTCAAACACTATGCAAGTGTACTACATAGTGTACATATTTTTGTGTATCAGAAAAGGACACTGAAGAGGAAGCTACAGTATTTCAGCTTCCCTCAGTTTGCAACTAGTCCTATTATTAAGAAACCCTTCTCTTGAATGTTACAACAAAATATGTTTTCAGAGATGGTAAGACAGAAAGGCTTTTTTAAGTGTCTAGGCAAGCTCGCAGCAGGCTTTTATATTGCCTGGTGTCAAATTATATGAGCTTTCTAAACAACAGAACCTAAATTAATGTCCCCCAATATTGATGGTCTACCTGGCATAATTTTGTTGATACTGGTTGGCAATGGTTTTTCATGACTTAATCTTGTCTTCTGAATCCAAAAAACTAGGGGTTGGCAAAGATTCTGTAAGGTTGGGTCAGTCAAATATTTCCTATATGAGTCTCTGGTTTTGCTTCAAATAAAAAAAACGTCTTTTTTCTTGCAAAATTAATAAGAACAGTATGGTCAAATATTAAAGGATTTCAACAGTCAAGGAAGATGTTCTTGATTCCTTTTTTAAAAATAAAGTAATAAAGTAAAAAATAAAATAAAATAAAATAAAATAAATAAATGAGTTTCATGAAAGCCTAGGGTGAAATAGAAGGCAAAATGCAAATCCAAAATAGAAATGAGAAAGTTTAATAGGTACTTCCCATATCTTCTTCCTGATAAAATATTTTCCTAGCTATTATAAGGTTTGTTTGGTTGTTTTTGGTTTGTTTGTTTTTTTGCTCCATGAGAAAAATACATAAGAGCTGCTCTTCACAGTACAAGTAGCAGTGGCAAGAGGAGGCAAAAATGAAAATAGTGAAAAGAAAAAAGTGAGAAAAGATTAAAATAGAGATAATCTAAAGCCCTACAGTTAACATTCTATCATTCCATTCAGCAAACCATTAAAACAATTTAAAAGGCAGCAGAAGAAACTCTGACTGTGGATGTCTTTCTAATCTATTTGCAAATTTGGACCCCGGTAACTATAATTCAACAGATCCAAAACAGCCCAATGCAACTCCATCATAGATCTCTGAATTCAGGGATCGAAAGAACAAAACTAATGTCTAGATATGCTTTTATGCTCACTTTCACAGAGGGCAGATGGATCAATTGTATAATTTTTTTTCAGATCAAAGGGCAACTTGACCTTTGAAGATATGCAAAGGTCCTCTTGCAAAAAGTGATTGGGGCTAAGGACAAACTGATTGAGAATAACATTTAATATATTTTCCTTGGAAAATATTTATTTCCCTCTTTTAACACATTAAAAATTAGGCTTTGGGGCATATCTCTGAAAGGCTTGGGAACCATTTAAAAGGTTTGTGAAAATGTACATACTGTTTTTACTCTACTTCTGAAATGTTGGGAAAGTGCTAAAAAAAAACAACCGCCATGCATGTTTCAAATTCCCTCAATCAGCCAAAAAGGTAGGCAGAAAAACACAATTAGACACTGTGCAGGAAGTGTCAGAAGCAAGGAAAAATATCACAGGACATAAAGAAAGGAAAAGCACCAGATATTTACAAATACATGCACATTAATTATTCCATCAAGGATTTCAAATCTACGTTCCCCTGTGACATGTCCACAAAATTCACATGTAATTCATAAAACAAGAAGTTAATTTCAAGCTTATCTTTCTTCCTTCCTTCCTTGAGCAGACCAAAGACTTTACAAATTTAATTTGAACAGAACATTCTTTCTGGCACATTCTGTCTCACAAATACAATATGATTTTGAACTACAAAATAAGGCTAGAGCTTCTATTCTCTTTCTGGTGCCTGCAAGCCACCAGTGCATATAGATTTTAAGAGTAATCCCCGCTCCTCAGTCACTCTGAAATATAGCAACTTATTTTATACCAAGAGGGGAGAATGAATAATTCATGTCACAACACAATAGCACTCTTAGAAGTATTACAAGTTTAAAATAGGCAGAAAGTTCTCTGCAAAATAAAGCAGCTAGCCTTAGTTTTGGTTTCTCCTTGATTACTTCCATTTTCTGAACAAAAAAAGAAATGTGTTCTCTTTTCAGGTCAGCACACACTGTAGATATCTAACATTGTTCTACAGGATTTGGACATATAGTATGACCTAATACCATCATATTTGAAAGAGATCAAATAAGAAAGTGAAAATCTCATTAGAAAAGAACCGTAACATTTTATATTGCCTTTATAGTTCTGGGATCAGAATTATATTTTCTCCCAATGAGAATTATTATCTTGAAGTAACAAGGTAATTGCAGAATATTAGCTTAGATCTGAAAGCATGATTCTATGCTATACCATACAGGAACTGTAGTGAGAGATAAATCTTCACTAAATCCCAAGGAAAACAGACCAACTTCTAGAGAAAAGAAGTTTAAATGAGTTCTATTAATTTTCTTACAGAATGAAAGCTCCAGAGAGGAATAAAAAAAAACCCCTTTCCATTGAATCCCTTATATTTAAGAGACAAGGCATCAGATATTTCAAGTCCTAGGAAGTACAGAAATATTGTATTTCAACTTTTAGTTGTACAAGATTGAATATCAAACTAGACACGGCAAGAAGCAACAGCATTTTTTCCCAATTTCTTCTTTTCAAATAAAAATTAAAAAGTAATTTAGCTTTATGTGCTGTGAAGTTAAGCAGACAATATGGGGCTTAAAACCTATAAATGAGTATATCTTTTCTTAAGAAAAGAGGTAGCCAGGGAAAATTCTAAGTGTACAACCTACCCCTGCCAAAGAACAAAACAAAATAAAATAAAGCAAACACCCCAAAACCAGTTACAGAAGAAGGGCCTCTAATCACACTATTTCACTGATTTAGTCATCAAAGCTGTTTCGAGGTTTAACCAATTGAAGATGCACACTGCTGTATAACTTGGTAATTCTGAGCCTGAACATAGTTTGGCATGTACGCTAAAAACACGTATGTTAGAAGAGACGCAATAAATGCAATAAGGACAAGTGACTGCGACAATACCTCCACTCTTGAGTAAGTAGCGATTGACATCCTGTATAGTGGTGTTAATTGTAGGACCTGTAGGAACACTTCCAGGGGTAACATCAGGATCATTTTCAGGGTCAATATTTTGTAATCCTTTCCATGGTACTCCAGGATGAAATTCTGCTTGGCAAAAAGAAAAAGAAAAAGAAAAAAAGATGAAATCAACACTTTATTTCTCAAGAGTCACAGAAAATAAGAGATTTATGGAGAGCCTCTATAGAAGTTTTGGTGGGTGGATTTTGCTGTAAATTTCAGAACTACTGCACTGCTGTGCGTTGTTACACCAGTGGGATTCCTGACATTCTATATGCTTTGTCCAACAACAGCATGAGATAAATAAAGTGTTTAGATAACACTTCAAAAGAGCATTTATTCATTTCATTCAGTGGATCCTGGCAGAAAAAATAATGAGGAAGTGGAACATAAAAAGAAAGCCAGTGTATTTTGAATACTAGGTGAGGAAATGCATATCTTTTGCCTGAAAAAACAAAATATATACTACATTGGGTTCTCAACAAAGGTGCATTTCAGGAGACAAAGGGTAACTTTGTTAAGTTACTTCCAGACAACATTTCTACAATACTTATTGGAGATTACCTGGTGGCCAATTGATGCTGGAGCCATTGGAGATTTTATCACTATCAGATTTGGCACGTGACCAGCTATGAGGAACAGCTACAGGACTGGCTGGTGATTCACTATTTTGAATAAGATCATACCGGCCATAAGAATCATCAATGGAGGACTTTCCTGGAGGGCCAATACTCAGACCTCCAGGGATAGCACCTGGAAATGGAAAAAGTGCAGGTGATAGATCATAAGCTTATTAACAAAATTAAATGTTGGCTGGGTTTTCTATTGCATCTCATTATTAAAAACAAAGGAAGATACATTTGAGTCACAAAAGGCAACATGATTCTATGCATTTAATAGAAAGATAGAAGATTAAATTAGGAAGAGTCAGAAGATTACTACAAAAGAGTCATCCAGTTAAAACCAGAAACCTTTCTATACTTTTGTAGGATACAAAAAGGACAATGGGACTTTGCTAACGACTCAATCTGTAAATAACACTGGTATTTCTTTTAAATAATACAGTAATAACTGAGTTTCAGAAATGTGATTTTGTAATAAAACAAGCAAGCAAATAGACATTTCAGTGCTTAGGTTGAAATATAATGATTCTGAATATTATACATTATTTTAAGTGTGGTTATAGTTGCAGCTGTTGTAAGCTGCATACAATTTACATTAATAATGGAAGCATGGTTGATGGTAATCGTCTGTTCTCTAGGATGCATTTTGGAGTTGTTCATTTAAGTGAAAAAATAAACCTTCTGTGAATATTTCAAAATATTCCTCCAGATTTCTGAGGAAATTAAATTAAATTTTCTAACAATGCTAAGCTAGGCATGATTGCAAACTCCTACTGAGTTCAATAGGGTTATTCTCAGGAAAAAATATCGTAAAGATCCTATCTGTCTAAAATTTTAATTTTCTGGTTTATTCCATTCTATTTTTTTATTATGTCAAATATTGTGCCAAAGAATATTTACAAAAAGAGATCTGTGACCAATGAGTTCTATGTATTTATAAAGCATATGCATTACCATGCTTGCTAGGGTTCTGGTCAAGTGGAGAAGCAGCACTGGAAAGATTATCCATTGAATTGGGGTGTGTCCACTGAGGAAGGCGAGACTGGGACTGAGAAGTATCCTTCACTGACAAACCACCAGGAATGTCCATACTGTTTACATTCATGTTTGGGTTCAATCCAGCTAAAAGGAAGTGGATAAACTGTCAAAGGTTTCTTAATTCTTGGTATTTAATGGCAATTTATATTTCTGATCATAAGCTAACATTGTATGTTTACTGATGAGGAGGAGAGGGGAGGGGAGAGGAGAGGAGAGGAGAGGAGAGGGAAAAATAGCACTAGGAATAAGAAAGAAAATCAAATATCATCTTAGCTCCCTTCATTACTTCTAATAACTCAACATACAGATGTAAAAGGATTCTTTTTTTTTTTTTTGCTGTTATGGAGTTTATTTTCTATCATTCTGAGATCCTAAATTTTAATATTACAGGATAAATCTTCCTGGTGTTATACGAACAAGAGAGTAATATTTCCTAAGAGACAGGCCTGTAAGAGGTAGAGGATATATGGGCTTTGCACATCTTTTCCTTAATCAACTTTGTAGATATTGAAAAATATATGACAAAATGAAGAACACCAAGGTTAATGGCCAAGATGATTGCCACTTTTTAGAACTATTCCAATATGTAGGATCAAATCACTTGCACAGTAACATTAACAAATTCAGTATCAGCTAGGCACTCCAGGGAAATATTAAGTATAGTATCAGAATATTTCAAATGCCACTAAGAGGTCCACTATAATTATTCACCTCTTCCAAGCTACTTTAATTCTATAAAGAAGTCTACATCTGGAAAAAAGTGTTCAAATACAGGACAGCTAGCTGAAGTCATTCAGAAATGGATATCTATATGTACTGAAAAAATCATGGTAATTTTTTATCTGTAAGTGTCATCATATTTTCTTTCTTCTCTGTCTAAAAATGGTTATTTTATATATAAGAAATCCTTGGATTGGAAACCAGTAGAGAATTCATAGTTCTATATTTGCTAGATTGAGAAGTTAAAAAAATATTCACCCATGACACTTTTATAATGCTGGCAAGAAAATGGCATGGATCCAATCCCTAGGGGTTGAGCTCAACTATAGTACATCTTTATTTTTTTAAAGACATGATCTAGAAAGATCATGGGAGATCCAGCATCCTTAGTTGCTTCACTGCTATGTCCTGGATTAAGTAACTACATCACCATAAAAATGCAACAGGAACATGGAGAAGAGACTAAAGGAAGACATAATGAAAGAATTAGGAATTTTAGTTATCCGTGAGCAGGCAATTGGACAACTTTTTGATATTATGGATTGTAATTCTCATAATCTATATGATCAAGGACTGGTCTGGGTCAAAATCCAGAAAAAAGTAGAGGACACCAGGTTATCCATTCATATTTCCCAAATAGAAAGTTTTGTACTTGCTGACACCTAGTGCTGTGAATAGAAATTGTCTACATTTCACTCTTCTACTGACCGAGAATAGAAGTTGCATCTGATAGTGAGGAATGAGGCAAAAAGACTTGGGGAATAATGAGGGGGGGGAGGGGGAGGGGGGAGGGAGAGAATAATATTAGTAAATTATGAGTAGTAAAATCCTTTACAAAAACCGCACTTACCAAGGGGGTAAGGAGCAAAGGTGTTCGGTGAAGACTGTTGCTCTTTGGTCTGCAGGTCAGATAGGCCAGGAGCTTGGGGGTGGGGTGAAAAGTTATCCATGGCTGATTTGCCTGCAGAGGGGTGCAAAGATAGGTGTGGAGGGGGTGGCTGCTGCTTCATAAGCAGGGCCTGGGCCAGCTGGCGCTGGTGCTGCTGAATTTGCTGCTGCATGTTATTGATTGTACGTGCAACCTACAAAATAACAACAACAACAACGATTTTAAAAACAGCAAACAGCACAAAAGATTTATGATTTTGTGCTATGAGCCAAAGAGCTACACTAGCAATAAACTCATTGGCGAAACTTCAGATGTATCAGGCATAGATTACAGAAACTGAAATCTGCTATTACAGGTAGTCTTCAACTTACGACCATTTGTTCAACAACCACTCAGCTACAATGGTGCTGAATGGACTTATGATTGGTCCCCAGTTATGGCTTTTGCAGTGCCCCCTGATCAAAATTTACGTGCTTGGTACCTCACACACAGGGGTGCTTCAGCTCTCCCCATCTGCCTATTACCCGCCATCTATGCCCTTTTGACCACCTGCATTCCCTGGCCACTGGCACCCTAGCTAACCTTCACTATCTCCCGCTGCTGACTAAGCATGCCTGGTCCTTCAGTTTTCTTCCCTAGGTCATGCATGGCTGTTTTCTCACAACATCTGGAGCAGATAGCCTTATGTGGCCAGCAGTTTCATACAAAGGGCCAGGCCCGGCATTCCTCATCACTAGTGGGAGGAAGAAGATGGTGAAAATCATTTGAGATGGCAATGGGCAAGGTGGCAGGAGCCTTGGAGTTCAAGGTAGGGAGGTTGAGTGTTGCTAGGCTTGCTGTAACTTCCCAGGATGGCAAGAAGCCCTCTTGTGACACCCTGCCGGATTGGGGCTGGGTTAGGCTTTGCACTGCAAAGGGCTTCAAGATGTAGCTTAGGGATTTTTGTCGAAGAAATCCCTTCATGCCATGCCATGCGGTTGGGCTGGGGCTGGGCTGCATGCTGTGAAGGGCTTTGAGATGTGCTGTGCCTTATGGATTCTTGCAGGCTCACAGCCATAGCATGCCAAGAAGCCTCTTTGTGCTGCATTGCTAGGCCAGAGTTGGGCTGGGCTTCATGCTGCATTGAGGCTTTTTGCAATCCCAGAGCCTCAGTGTACCAAGAAGCCATAAGCCACAACATATTCTTTCTCTATTCTGCTTGCGCTCATACACATGGATGCACACACCCTGTACCCCTTTTTCCCAGGCTCACTGCCTTCCTGCTGCACTGCAGCAACCCCTAATTTGTGCATAGCCTGTGTCCCCTCCCCCCAATAACACTCCTGTGCACCTTACACGAGATTCTTTCTGCTTCCCACTTAATGACCTGGACGTCTAGAGTTATGATCTCAATGAAGACTGCCAGGATTGTCATAGTTATGTAATATTGGTCATGTGACTAATGCTTCACAACTGCATCACTTAGTAATGGAAATTTCAGTTCCAACTGTGATCATAATTTGAGAACTACCTGTACAATTATTGATTTATTCTTGGATAAAAGTATGCAGCACAGAATGTTTGTTTTATAAATATTCATTATTATATAACATACAAAATTCTTTAGTGATGGTACATCTGAAATTGAGTGAAACCTACTTGCTGCTCCTGTTGTCTGATGGGTCCGGAAACATTACGCTGAGCCTGTAACATCTGCTGCTGGATTTGTAAACGTTGGTATGCCTGAAAGATACAAAGAAAGGAATCATATGGTCACAGAACAAGGAGACCCAATACTTAGAGTGTATTAATCAGCATTTGAATAAGTTTACTACTTTTGCATTCTGCTGCCATTCCACTGAATGGTGCTCCAAAAATCTTGAAATATCCATTGCACATATAATAGCCATACCAAAGTGATTGCAAGTCTTTAATCTATGTATAACTCTATAAACTAAATGAATGCATGAACCATTTAAATGATAGTTCTGATGGGGAAAATATGCCTGTCTTAAGGCATTTATTTTTTTAATTGCTCAAAAAGATCAGAATAGCAGTGGGATAATTTTATTGGCTATGGTGATCCCCTTTTGTCTATAGTGGCCTAATTTTGCTTAAACAGACCTAAAAATAATCATATTATTTTAAAACATTTGTTAATCATCTTTAGATTTCAGGATAAGCTTACCATTGCCTTTGATCTGACATATACCGAATATAACTTTCTAATTCAGCAAGATAGATACTCTTGATTCTAGGCACCATTTACCTTTTTCTTTGCCTTTTTGTGTACCTCCTGCTTTATTTGGAATTTAGAATACAGATGGATTGACTTGGAATTTGCATGGCTCCTAGGATCATTCCTCATATTTTTTGCCTAATGCAACTTTTATTCTAGTGATTCATCTCATTTCAGGAAAATCTTTCCTTGATCCTCTTTCATGATTTATTCATAGAACTCTTTTTGCCTTAAGAAAGTTTTATTATTTAAGAAGCCACCTAGGTCCAAAGCCTGTTTCTATAAGTGATTGAAGACAATTATAGGTAAAGAACCATTTTAAATTCTACTTTTAAACCAGATGGTTGTGGCACTAGCTTATTCTCTGCCCAGTTTCCATCATTGCCAAAGCCATTATCCCTCCCTCTCCATAAGTGCTTTTTCAAAAGGCAACTGGACTTCCTTTGTTTTTTTGTTGAAGATATTTGGCTTCTCATCCAAGAAGCTTCTTCAGTTCTGACTGAACGGGTGCAGAATGGAAAGATTTACATTCTTTGCAGTCATCTGATTGTTAGCACTCTTTCCGAGAGTCGTTGAGGTCACTTGGAGGTTTGGAATATAAATCCTTCCATACTTCACCATTCAGTCAGAACTTTAAAGACTTCTTGGATGAGAAGTGAAACATCTTCAAGGAAAAACAAAGAAAGTCCAGTTGCCTTTTGAAAAAGCACCTTTGGGACAAGCATGACCTAGATGACTGAGAATCTCCATAGACACTTCTCTCTACATCTTTTAGATCAGGATTATTAGAATGTCAATGCCAGTCTATAATCAGGCAACAGGAATTCTTTATTTTTACTTGATTTATATCCCAGCTTTGAGGTTTAGAAAATATGAGCTTATCTGAGAACTGAATTTCGTGAACCGATGAAAAAAGTGTACTAATCTGCATTGTGTCTACCACACCAAGCAATGTGTGTTTGAACCTGAATGGTGGATGCCCGGCAGAATACATGGCAATTAACAACAAATATATTTAGTTTTGAATCTGTTTCTTTCTTGCTGTAATTTTGGTTAGGATCTGAAACTAACAATGAAAATGCAATTAGTTTCCGAACTAAATCCATTCCCTGAGTTATTCATGTAATATGCTGGGATGCTTTACTGGTTTGCTGCCTTAGTTATATTTGCTAACTAACTTTACAACTTAGAGTCACAGTCTGAATTTATAACCATGTTTTAAATATTTAGAAGACAGAGTCCTAAGAGCTTGCAGAAATGATGAACACAGTATGTTTTATATACAGAATTGCATTTTTCTCTAAATTAATTCAACGGCATGGCTTAGATTCAGCTCTTGCTGAATATCAAATATCTTAACATTTGGAGCAATGTGACTTAATATAATGTAGTTTCTGTGCTCTGAATCATATTGAAAAAAACCCTCAAAAGACAAGTTGATCTAGTGCAGGGGTGTCAACTGGCGGCCCAAGCGCCAGATGCATCATGCGTAGGCCACACCCACCCTGGCTCCACAAAGGCAAAAAAAGTCATGATCCGTCATGTGACGCGATCAAGTTTGACACCTGTGATCTAGCGGTTCAGGTACCAGACTGGAAACCAGGAGATTGTGATTTCTAGTCTTGCCTTAATCATGAAACCTGGCTAGGTTAACTTTCGGCCACCCTCTCTCTCTCTCTCTCTCTCTCTCTCTCAGTCCATTTCACCTTATAGGGTTGTTGTTGTGGGGAAAATAAGAGGAGAGGGATATTAAGTATATTAGCCACTTAAGAGTTATTTATAAAAATAATAAATACAGGCTAAAACATCTAAGCAAAATAATGCACAATTATAATTACTTTGAGAAGAAGTCATGCATAACTCGTAGTAATGATTAACATGTAATAGATAAAATTATAGGGATCGAGTTTTGGTAAAGAGAAAGGCAATAAAAACTCGGTGAACATTCTGAGAAACACTAGTGGTACTAGAGGATGGTTTTGGTGATGCTTCTGCTTATATGACTCAGAAGTTAAAGTGCAGAAAAATCTGAAAATAATCAGCAAACTAAAAGTGTTCAAAACAAGACAGAAAGATAGTACCTTTATTAATTGTACATGATTTTTTGGTTTTTTTAACTTACCAGCTGCAGCTGATAGAGCTGGTTCAACATCGTCATATGCTGAGGATTAATTGGCGAGGTTAATAGTGCAGGATTGAGACCAATGTTTTTTGCTGCAAACTGCAAAAGCTGTGCTTGAACCTGAGATAGAACAAAACAGTTTATTACTATAATTTACACAACTGCTATACTCACTCTCCAGAATTTAAGCAAAATACGCTAATGGCATGTGATCTGACTTGCTTTTCTGTTTATTTTTGATAAATATATATAAAAAATCAAGAAATTGATAGTAACTGCTTGTATCAGACAAAATGAAATATCATTCATGAAAATCGAACTGTTAGCTACTCAGAATCACTCAGCTGAGTGATCGTATACATGTGTAAATAAATAAATGGTCATATTATGTAAAATGGGTATACGCAATACAAACCTTCAAGTTACAATTATGTTTTACATATCTGCTGGGATAAATAAAATTCTATTTTTCGGTCCACAATGCCTTTCACAGAAATATGTGGCTGTTGCATAACAATAAATAAATAATAGTATATTGTACTTGTTGCATATCATAATTAGAGTTTCCTTAAGATTTCGACTTAATATGTATTGAACATAGTACAGAAATAGTCACTGCTAGAAATATAACAAATCTTTGGAAAACTGAAGAACTGAAGAAAACAGCATCCTGATTGCTTCAGGAATAATCAATTGATTTAAATGTTAGTGGTTAATGCCACCTGGATTTCTATACTCCTGGCTATCAATAAAGAAATTCTCCCAGTTCTCATTTAATTTAAAAAAGAGTTTTCAAATTTTGATGTGATGTTTCTTCCTATTTAGTTCCAAGGTAGCCATGAGATGTGCACGTCTGTCTTATTTTCAACTGTACTATCCATTGGGGTGGAGGGGGGTGCCCTTGCTATTCTCTGAGTTTGCTTGTTTTCTTGCAGACATTTCATTACCCAAACTAGATAACATCATCACTGCTAGTGATGTTAGCACTGATGACGTTATCTAATTTGGGTAATGAAATGTCTGTTAAGAAAACAAGCACGCTCAGAGAGCACCAAGGACCCCTCATGTCAACCCAGAGCTACAAATATTCTTCTTTATTTGTACCATCCTTTCTCCAGTGCAGCTCCCATTAAATCCCAAGAGAAAGCATCATGAAAGATATTGTCTCCTGAGGCCCTTTTGGTACTACTGTCACTGCTAACAGGGGGGGTTCTGCCCATTAGAAATAACTGGAGATCTATCTTTCCCCTAGAAATAATCCACCCAATTTCTTCTCCACAAATTAGCAGTGACTTTTGATCAGCCATTTGTGTCCAGCTCTGTTGCCTATAATGCTGTCGATCTCCACCAACCTGAGGGGAGAGAAACTGAGGCACTTGAGCACGAAGACTAGGCTGGGATGAGTTAAGAGGTTGCACTGGCGGTTGCTGCGGCTGTTGCATGGTCCTGGCTTGTGCTGCTCCGCTATTGCCAAACATACCTAGATTGCCACTCGGTATCTGCAGAACAACAAAATTCACATCTTTCAGAAGTGCATTTTATTTGGTGGCAATTATTTGAACTGTTCTACATGTTACTGAACAGGAGCCCTCCTGTACATTTGCTTTATTTTAATCTTACTTGATATGTAAGCTATTCTATTCATTTAGTGTTAACAATATTAAAAAGATATGTGTTCTGTAACTGCATAGATGCTTTTTCCTTTTTCCCTAGCTGGCAATCTATGTGATGTTTAGAACGGTTATTATTCCTGGTTTGAAACAGTAATGTGCTGAGTTACAATTTCAGATTTCTCCCAAGCTAAATGGTAATCTCTGTATCTTTTGATTGCTTTACTGTAGTAAATTAGTACAAAGTTTTCCTGTCTAATTTACTGGTCAATGGTATCTTCCACTTGATCTATTGTGGGTCCAAAATTGAGAAAACAAGTCTTCTGCCTCATTTGAGAGAACAGGAAAGCAACTTGCTGAGCTGGCAATAGACAACTGATAGACTTGACCGAATTTAGTCAATTTACTCCATCCAGGCATTCTAATGGATTTTTTCAGGGAGGAAATGTTGCTTCCTTCAAATGGCAATGGCAGACAGATATGTATGTATGTATGTATGTATGTATGTATGTATGTATGTATGTATGTATGTATGTATGTATGTATGTATGTATGTATGTAAATGGATCAGCTTGTTACCAATCAAGTTTTTAAACCGTTTGGGTTATTGCGAGAGGAATCTGGATTACCTAAAACTGTGAATTGATATTATCAGTTATATATGATCATTTTCAATTACACATTTCTTCCTTTCACAATTTGGTTTAAGTATATCGGTAGTGTTTAGAATTATTGAATTATTGACAGTAATAATTTTGAATTATTCTAAATCTATAATACTTATATTATAATTACTGAAATAGATATGACATATGTGGAAAAAATCAGGTATATAAATTTGGAATATATTGATTAATATATTAGAAGGTAAAGGGTTAATAGAATATTGTTTTTTTATTATTTTAATCACAAAAAAAGATTCTGTCATATTTACTATACTCTGAAGAGGATGTTTTTAAATGACTTTATGTTTTCTAAAAAGAAAATTTTCTTTTCAATGAAGGAAAGACATCACCCACCCCGTGTTTACAATCTTGGATCACTAATATATGTGTACTTTAAACAATCTCTCGATCAACATAATGGAACGACCAATCAAAATTACTGTCTACTCAAGGTTTAATTATGTGTTTAAAAACTGCTTTTTATATATAAAATAACATGGCTTTGTTGTTTCTTTTTTTTGCATTTGTGTTGATAATTGTGAGTTTTGTTCTTTTTTATTTTTCTTTTGTTCCTCTTTTGTAAAATGAAGCAATACAAGTAAAATAAATAGAGAAGTCAATGTTTCCCACATTCTAGTCCTTATAGATTTAGACAGATAGACAATAGAGTGATTTCCTTCTAAGTATTTTTGTTTGTTTTTAGTTTTAGTACAACAATTTTGATGAATGTGTGGAAATGGTACGAAGGTACCACATTTCTTTTTTCCCCTCTCAAAGTAGCAAAGGTTTCAAAATCATTTCTTACTATGATGACAATGATTTTATGAGTCTATTGTGAAAATGTTTCAGAATGATTCCTCTTATGATTCTTCTTATCTAAAGATTACTATCTTGCCCTTCTTTCAGAATACAAAATGTTTAACAAAGTCAAAAGGTAAATCTACAAAATACAATGCAGAGAAATCAAATGGAATAAGAAGTCAGTGCTACATTGCACATTGTAACACAACAGTATAAAAGGACTCGTAAAAAGAAAGAAAGTCTTCATAGCCTCCGTATAAGCTACTGTGGACAGAATCAACTAAGTGTTCTCTAGAAGACTATTCCAAAAACCTGGTACTACAATAGAGAAGACTCTATTCGCCACCCTGGTAATGATGATTCAGATTTTCAGGTTCTTTCTTTCTTTTCAAGGTATTTTAAAGTGGATGGCTAATTCCTTCCTTGCTAATCTTAAATCTGTGCAAAAGAGTCAGTTACTTGGACCACACAGAAAGTTAAGCTGAATAGGCTCTGAGGCATCTTCCTTGTACATATTTTTTCTTAACTGTCTCAGATTTAAGATTAGCAAAAGATACCTAAGTTAGAGAAGGAAAGAAATATGTAATATTAACGGAAATTGCAAACTTCTTAAGTGATCTGCTGCTTTCAGATCTGCTGCTTGTTTTTTAAACTGTTGGTTTTGCTTGTTTTCTTTCTATGTTACATTTCAGTCTTATTTTGTACTATTTCAATGTTGTGTAAATTGCCTTTACTTGTATACTTGTGGGTACTCACCCATAACATCTTGAGTAGGAAGTCAGTAAACAACAATAAAAACACAAGTCCTTAACATGCTTCCTTTTCTTAGGAAGCCTTTCTCATACTTTTAGGGTTTTTAAATGAGCAGAACTCTTACTTTTAATTGCGCCTGGAAATAATTCCGTCCAGGACAGTGTATATGAAAATAAAAAACTTATAACTTTATCACTACAATCATCTTCGAGCACCAAGGCAACTTGATGCCTTACATGATGGTTTACCGAGTTGCAACTAAACTACATGGAAGGTTCAAAGATTGTCTAACCCTGCTCTAGATATCAGCTCACTATGCAGTTTTTGGCTGACTCAATTTAACACATCAGCAAGTATTAAATGGACAAGAATCAGTATGCGAATTGGCATAATGCAGTAAGCAAGGGGATCCCAATGTAGTGCCTACAGGCATCATAGTACCTGCAGAACCTTACTGAGCATAATGCTAGGGAGTTTGCTTCCGCGCCCCCCCCCCCAATAATCTTAAAATATTTATCAAACTGAAAAAAAGCAAATAAGTAAATAAGAAAGAGGCATGCTGCAGAGCAAAACATCAGCTACTGGGACATTCTTAAAAAAATAAAAAGTAATTGGTAGATATGCAGGAAAAAAGTAGGCAGTAGAAGGGCATGGACTTCACAGAGATCATCCTGTAGGTGTGGAAGTGGTGCAATGAAAAGTGAAAGGGGAAGACAGAATATGTGTGTTCACATGTGCTCACGTATGTGTGACTGTTTAAAGTCAACAGTTTGCATTCTGAGAAAGTGGTATTTTGTTTTGCAAAGAAGTATATGTAATTGACAAAATATATGTTTCTCAAGAACTGAAAATATATTTAAGGTTTCTGAAAGGACTTATAATACATTCTCAAAATTCTAAATGTGCTCACTTGCCTAACAAAGCTGAAGACCCCATAAACAATAGCGTGAATGGAAATATTCAATTTCTCTGGTGCTGAGAACTGATTTCCCACTCAGGATTGGCAGCACCGCCAACTCTACTGACTGGATGAACTAAAAATAGAAACTGGTTTAACCCCAACTAGTAACCAAATACTGTAGTCAAGAAAGCTGCCTTGGGGACAGAATAACCTTAACACAGTAAACGATAATTGTCTGAGGAGGAGAAAAGAAGAAAAGAAGGATTACAAGTTGGGAGAAGTGTGATTTCTGTTGTCATGCAAGACAACAGAAAAGAATAGCACTATCCAGATATGCGGTGGAAAAGCAGCAGGGAAGAAAAGAAATAGAAGCAGTGGTTGAGGAGTTGTGGAGAGAAGCAGCAGCAGAAAGGCAAAGGCATAATATTCAGCTAAAAGACCTCTGTTTATCTCCTATAGTAATAACCTCATAGGTCTAGATGCCAAATTACGTTTGACTTAGACAAATTTGCTACTTACATTTGAAAAAAGGATATTGAAATAGGAAAAAAAAAACCATATTCCTTTTACTAAGACACCAACCGACTTTCACACAGTTGTCACTGAAAAGGTACCTTACCTGTCTAGAAGAATTCAAGTTTTGCATGCCCAGCCCTGAGGCAATCCCACCCAGGGTCTGATTAGGGAGTGCACTGTTTGAAAGGGGGAGCTTCAGGCTTGGTGAAGGCAAAAATGGTGAAGTAGTGGGCTCTTCCACTAGGCCGCCATCCTGATTGAAAAAAGAAAGGGTGAGCTGTGTGCAGTGTCCAGGTACAGACAGTGCACAAAACAGTTTCCCATGGAAATAAGTGGAACATGGATGAATAAAAGATCAAAATATTGTTTAAAAAGGCATGAGGAATACATAATGAAAAGTATGGAGTGGAAGGAAGAAGAAAAAGAGAAACAGAATTAAGATACTGTTTGTCTTTACTTTTTGCTTTGAAATTTTTAAATACATAATTGTAAATATATAATCATTCTCAAATATGAAAAGCAACAAACTCTTGCTGAAGCACTTTTAAGACAGGAATTACATTGCAAATATTATGTGCCTCATTTGCAACAACTGCATACCCCCCCCCCGCAAAACAAATTACTATTTCTATTTTTAATTTCTACTTTCATATCAAGTTACTTTCTTTTCTATTAATTTTTTTAAAGCTATCCCAAAGACATACAGTACTTCTGAAGAAAACTAACACTGCATTTTTGCAGCATTACTATTTTGGAACATAGTCACTTTGTGACATTAAGGAAAACTTCAGACTACCAAAATTTTAGTGATCTCTTATTTAGCTTCTGGCAATATGCATAATCATCTATAGTTTATGTAAATTCTAACCTGCAAAAAAGCTGTTAGGAAAATACATTCTACTGACACTCTATACAATTTCCTGTTCATTGTGTGAATGAGTAAGACTTTAAAATGAACATATTAGCGCAGCACTGAAAGCATTGTAAAACAGTAAAAGTTCTTTTTTTTTAAATCAGTAGTTTAAGAAATGGGAAAGAAGACAAGGAGGTTGCTATGACAATTCATCTCAAAGTAGGATGCCTTAATTTAAATACTATATAGGATTTCCTGGATAAATTGTCAATTGCAGAGCATAAACACTATTATATAGATCTCACTGTTCAGGTAAAAGGACTGAACATAAATATTTAGGCTTAATAATGGTGCATAATTCTCTAGGTAACTATCTACACAGCAGGCTTGTCTCAACAAAAACCAGGATATAATTATGTTTCTAACAATGACAGATTTCTTAAGAAGCTGAAGCAAAAGATACTTTTATTTCAGTTTCAGTGATACACATAATAATTCTGATCCTTCGAGGAACAACCAATAAAATCTCATCAACTGCCTACTTACTTTGGAGGTTTCTTTGTCCTCCAGACAGGGTGGAGGGGAGAAAAAGTAAAAATCAGAAGTCATCTCCAACAACACAATATAAAGACTATAACAACCATTATGTAGGACAAACAGGCAGAAGACTAGTAGGGCGTGTCCATAAAACCAATTAGCAGTCAGAAGACACTATGAAAATTCCTTAATCTCACAACCCATAGACAGATTTAACCATAGTTTCAATAGGGAAACTGTAAGCATCCCAGACCAAGCTAAATTCCAGGGAATTCCTGGAAGCTTGACATTCAAACAAATCAGTCATCAAGAGACACACAGCGATAAACTACACTTACACATCATTCAAAAAAGAAACTAAAAAGCTAAGAAGGAAACAAAAAGACGAAAACACATTTTCTTCAGCAACCAATATCCAGATAAGCAGGGATCAATACCAGATAACAATCAAGCAAACAACAGTACCCTAATCAAAGGACTAGTGAAGAGAAAGCCACACCCACATCAACAACAGCAGGACAAGCTACTGTATATAAACAGGTAACAAACCCCACAACGACTAGCATTGATGATGATGGTCATTGTGTCCACAGTAAAAAATGACAATAAAGGTTATCTTATCTTATGTTACCTAATCATGCAATAAGCAAACAACCAAGCTCAGTGCACATCAAGGACTCCACAGTTCAACACGGAGCTATAAAAATTCTTTTTTATAGGAACTACTTGTACAGTTTAAAGTTAAAACCAGCAATTGGTTTCCACTTTGGTTTGTAGAGATAGTACACATCATAGTTTACTGGTCTGGTTTAAGTGTTAAGCTATGATCTGCCTCAAAATTAGAGGAACCATATTCAAGAAGAATGATAGAAAGGACTTTGGAAGTATTCAGCAATAATAATAAATAGGTGAATAAGAGCAAATGTTGAATACGAGTGCTCTCTCCTTTCCTTCTGATATGTACAGGTAGTCTTTGACTATGACCATTTGTTCAATAACTGTTTAAGATTATGGTAGGGCTGAATAAAGGAACATATGAGCCCCCCAAATCCAGGTGCTTGGCAGCCTTCCCACACTAATGACCATAAGGGTGTTTAACTCCCAACGCCCACCTATCACCACACCATCTATGTTCCTTTGGGCCCCAGTACTTTGCGGCCCCTGCTATGCTAGCTGACTCCCATTGTTTTCCTGTTCCCGCATCTGATAAGCATGTCCAGCCTGGCCCTTCACAAGACAGCTACTGGCTACACAAATCTTTTCTTCAGGTTATGCTCAGAGGTTTCCTCACGAGACCTGGGGAAGATGGCCTCATGTGGTTAGCAGCTGCTTCTTGAAGGGCCAGGCCATGCATACCTTGTCAGCAAGTGGGAGCAGGAAGATGGTGAAGGTCAGCTGGGGCAACAGAGGGCAGAGTGGCAGGGGCCTTGGAATGCAGGGTGGCAAGGGCGACTGAGGCTAGGACTGGGCTGGGCAGCTGGGGCTTCTTGGTGTGATACAGCTCTGGGTTTGTAAGAGCCCCTGAGCTTCAATACAGCGTGCAGCCTAGCCCCAGCCCCAGTCCAGCCCCAGCCTAGCAGTGTGGCGCAAAGGTCTTTGCATGCCACAAAGCAGGCTCTGCACATTATAGAGCTCTGGGAGCTGAGGCAAGTCATTATGCCTAAGCCATAGTTCAATGCCTTCAAATGGACATTGGATTCGCATACTTCCTTTCCTAACCACCTTAGGAAATTGCTTGTTAATGGCTTTTGGATGGTAAGATCCTTAGAAGGCCAAGTTTCATTACACCGGGTGAGTTTCCTTCTACACACACACACACACACACACACACACACACACACANCAGGGCGTTAAAACAGCAGTCTGGGAGAAACCCTTATAAAGTGTGTGTGTCAATTGCTTGCATCCGGCTTCTGCTACGCGTCATCGGACCCAGCTGCTCCTGAGTCCTGCTCCTCCTTTTATACTTTACTTCTCTTGGTGCTCGGTTTTATTCGTTTACTATGATTCCCAAGAGTCGGATTTTTAGCGTAATTAATTCTCATATATATATGTGTAGGTCTTTAGTTATTCGGGTTTTCTCCCGCGTAGAATTAGAAGTGTCTTGGCGACGTTTCGACGAACTCACATTCGTCATCTTCAGGCTGGTGTCTTCAGCTTCGTGCTTCTGGGAGTAGTGTGTGTGATCGCAGTTGTTTCTTCCTTTGGATAGGAAGAAACAACTGCGATCACACACACTACTCCCAGAAGCACGAAGCAAAAGGGTGACTGGAATGTTGATTTTGGAAAGTTCTAAATGGATTAAGGGGCCAAATGGGCTTGAAATACAAGAATATTTCCTCTAGATTGTTTAAAATTAAAAAAAAAATTATGAAGATTTTGAAACTAACTATAAGAAATCTTCCCATGGGGAAGTGTTTATTGGGGGGCGGGGCGGAGAAAGGTAATAAAACGGGAATTTTACTGCCATTAAACATAAATGAATGCTAAATACTATCTACAATCCACCAAGCTATTGAGCTGAGTAACAGCCTATCTTTGAGTCTGGATGGTATCACGCTTGCCCAGACAAAGCTGGTTTCCAGCTCAGGGTCTTCTCCTGGATTCTGTTTGAATTCCAGGTGTAGGGTATGACCACAAGGACCTATGCATATATGCATCTTCATGTGGCCATTCATGCCACCACTTCATGGTGAATTATTATAATGAACTCTACAATGCGTTCTACATATTCTAATTTTTTGATGTCTGAATATCCTATTAAGCAGGGGAATACCATCCAACTTAAAACCTGAAGCATGATAGAAAAGAAGTGTTAAACTTGCTCTGTACTTTGCAAACAAAGGAGTTTCAAGAATACATGCGTTTCATTAACTTCCTAAAAATAATTATTTTACAGTTAACCTGGATTATCTTCTCACTATTCACTCAGATTATCAGGGAATGCTCTATGTTCCTGAAGCAGGGAAAACAATGTTCAATGCCAATTAAATATAAAAGATCTCTGACATTCTAAATAAATCCCGATAGAGGTTCTCCCCTCCACTCTGTTCCCCAGAAGCCTCAATGTTTCTTTATTATCAACCAAAATTGATGTTTATTTAATGCTGGAAAGCCCTAAGGGAAGACCCTGACATTTTCTAGTCATATGTTCAAGGTCTTTCAGCTCAGCACGCTTAACATTCTGCAAGGGTATCCATCATGCTCCACAAATTGCAGCTTGCATGACAGCAACAGGTTCAAAGATTTCTTCCCTTTCTTGAATCTCAAATAAGAACAGTATTCGGTATCCTATGTTTCTGCTAATCACGGGTGTTCTACTTTGTAAAACTAATGCTTACATCCAACATAACATGGAATGTTGTTAAGAAGTTAACATATGGCTTTAAACGTAATCTCATTGATAAGTGCCAATGTAAATAATGGCAGCAAAATTTATAAAAGCTAATTTGAAAGGTACCCAAAACTCTTGAAAGAATTAGAATTTAGCACATTTGATGTCTTTTACTTTGTTTTTATCAACTTTTGATAAGAGCAATGTGAAATTCCGATTAGGTCACATACTGGAGAAATTTAATTCAATAATATGATTTATGAACCTATTGACTACATGCCTATTAAAAATCTATACTATTAAAAGGACTCAAAGGCCAACTAGTATCAAAATAATTTGTATAAAGCAAGCTAGGGAACACACACACATACAACCCCGAATGGAAAAAAGGCAAAAGTTCCCTTAACTTAGTAGTCAGAAAATATGACTATATGCATAATTTATAGTAAAAAGATTGTTCACATAACATATTTATATAGTAATTCCATGGAAAAAAATAATGTCTTTTGCAACCACAACAGTTAAATCCTATTTTAAATTCAGAAAGAGTTTATGATTTTTTTATATTATTTTTATGCCTTAATTATAGCTTCCTAAGATTAAAACATTTTCTTCCTCTTTTTAAGGAATAGCTGCTCTTAGATTTTGGTCCTTCTGAAACAATGAACATTACTATGATCAGAGATAGATTTTTGATGTGCCTCCTTCCTTCAGGGTTGACTCCGGTTGGTGATAACTGGGGAAGAAAAGGTCTCGCCCTCAGCCTCTATGTGGGGTGCCATAGCATTCAGCGCTTTCTCCTCTCCTCTTGAACATCTACATGAAGCTGCTGGGTGAGTTTATCCTTTGCCATGGGGTATCCTCAGTTTGCTGTTGATACCCAGTTACAGATCTCTATCCCAGCCAAAATTAAGCAATGCTATGAGCATATTACCCTGGTGTTCGGAGGCTGTGAGGATCTGGATGGGGCACAGGCTTCAGCTGAACCCTTCAGTTGCTTTGGATTTTGGGGCCCACTGATTCCAGGACTATACTATCTTTAAAGCTGCATGGGGTTGCACTGCCTCAGTTAGACTATATTCGCAATCTTCCTAGACTTGTGACTTCTGCTAGATGAGCAGGTAACAGCCATGGCTACAAAGACATGCCTTTACACAGCTTTGTCTTATGTTTCAGTAGTGCCTGTTCCCAGATTGGCAGGCCTTGCTCACAATCATTCATGCCCTTATCATTTCCAGACTGAACTACTGCATGCACTCTACCCTTGAAAAGTATCTGGAAGCTTCAGCTGATACAGAATGCAGTGGTGTGAATAGTTATCTACATCTTTAACAGCACGTTATACTTCTGTGGCTGCGTGCACTGGTTGCCAGTTTGCTTCTGGGTCCAATTCAAAGTGCTGGTTTTAACCTTTAAAATCTTTCCTGGCATAGGACTGGGATATTTGAGGGATCATCTCTTCCCAATCACATCAGCCTGCTGATTAGATCTGGAAAAGGGGGCATACTCTGGATACCATCAGCTAGCAACCTACATAATGGTGGGTCCCAGGTGACATGCCATCTCTATCATGGTGGCTTCTTTATGGAGCATTCTTCCCCTTGAAGTTAGGTTAACTCCATCTCTTTTGACATTCTGGAAATGTCCCAAGACCTGGTTATATAATCAGGTCTGGGGTTCCCAGGGAACTGTAGCTATGCTCAGATAGGCTAGGTGATTATTCTTCCTTTGCTGAGCATCTGTATATTTTTTATAATATTTATTTTTAATCTGGATTTTATATTTTTTATATTTCTTGTTTTCATATTTCTTGTAGTTCAACTATTGTACACATTTTGTGAGATAAGTGGCTACACAAATTTGACAAATAAATAAATGAAAGATAAATCCAAAAGACTATTTCCCTACTCTAAAAAAGATTAGGTTTTAAATTATAGAAAAGAAAAGAAGAAGTCATTTGATTGTTTTAAGTTGCTGAATCATGCAAGCCCTTCTTGATTAAGGCATTCTGTTGATTCCTGTATTCTTACTACAGCAAGTTAAAAAGTTTAGAGAGTGAGATTAATCAAACTCATCTTCTATTATTATTAATATTATTTTTAAACTCCAGAATGCTGCCCCTACCTTGTCAAGGAAGGTGGGGCGGTCCATGGAAGACTCTTTGGAGATCGGTGGTGGGCGGCAGCCAAGGGGTTTGTTGACCATTCCATTGTAGTCAGCTACTCCCATTCCACGCTTGTCCATTTCCACCTTCTTTTCCAGCAGAGCACCTGTAAATGGTAAAGCGAATATGAAAATGTCACAAGAAAATTAGGAATCTTTATCCAAGTCAAGATGAAATTACGTTCATACTGCTTTCACTACACTTTTCTTAGTATTATTTTAAATTAGTATAGATTTATAGCCTACTCAATTCTTACAGAAAATGGTTTTAAAATAATGCAGCTTATTTCACTGAAACAAAATAATCCTCACTCATATCTAGATCATTTACAAAAAATACTTACTCATGGCCTGATCTAGATTCATACTGTTACTCTTTAAGGCCTCTTCTGCTGGCTCTCTCTGCAAAAATAAGAAAATGTGTTTGTTGCTAACTGCACAAAACAGAGTTTATAACTACATATAAGAACATTTTACAAGCACCTCAGGTATACTCTCCTTCTTATGTTAATGGGTCATAATAATTGATATTTTAACAGTTAATATTCAGAAGTTTGCAACTAAAGTGGGGGAAGGAGTGTGCCTTGTGGTCAAGCAGCAAGTTAATATGTTGAAACAGCAAACAAAGCTTTTCATAGCAAAGAAATACATACAACTGATCACCTGCCAAGATCTGCAGATCAAGAAATGATTAGGTAGAAATGAGTAAAAAACTTGGCAAACTTAAAATATCAATTTTAGGTTCAACCACCATTTAGAATAGGAAATAGCCATGGTGCCAGCTTTCAAATTTACTATGGAAAATATAAGTCCCCCAGTCCTCTTTCAGTTTCAGAGCCTGCCTACAAATAGGAAATAATTGCCTATAAACTGGAAATAAGCAGTATGATTGCCAGTTGTTTCTTTGGCAATCATATCTCATAACTTCTGTCATGAATTCCATGTAATAGAAAGAATCTCACATACCTCTGAAATGGCCAGAGCATCTGATCCATTCTGAACTATCAAAAATGCTTAAATTGAAAACTGTTGTGAACTAGAAAAATTCAACTTGGAATTGGGAAAAATCCTTGATATGATAATTACACAATTAATGATTTAAAGTCATTATCTTGGATTTTACCCATACTTTCCAATAATGTTTTACCATCCATTTTTAAAGTAGAAATTTTCCAAAGAGTTAAATATTCATAAGTGTCATTATCAAAAAGTAATCTATGTCCCAATATGGCCCAAAATTTCTCATAGTCTGGGAACAACTGTACTTTTTCATACATGTTGTTTTAAGAACTTGTCATAACTGCAAGAGGAATAAATAATAACATTCCAACATAACCCATAGAGGATGATATTTCACTAAATTTTAATTTGCAATGCTAATAAAATATAATCTCAATGACAGTTTTCAAATCAGATAAATTAAAGCCACCATCCTCAAATGGTAATTTCAATTTAGCTAATGGAAACCTTGGTGGACTACTATTGCAAATAAATTAAGTAGCCTGTCAATCTGAAGAAAATGTTTATTTGGTATTCATATTACGATACCTCTAAGGACATAAATAAAGTGAAAAATATTAATTTTAATAATATTAATTTTATCCTACAAACATAAGGGGATTTTAGCTTCTCTATTTATATCCCATTCATTTTTTTAAACAAAAATTTTGAAATATTTATTCCCATAACATATATTTAAAAATATTTTGAGAAATGTAAAATCCAGGATCTTTAATATATGGAAATCACAAAACCAACCCTTTATGTAACTGTGTGAGGTTGGAGCCTAAGGGAAGTAAGCTAGATTTATCCTAGGTAATCTTATAGCCAGAGTACTTTCTGAAATACTGTACTATCTTTATAAAATTAGGCAAAAAACATGGAATATTCTTCCAAATCTGCAAAATAACATCAGCATATAAATTACTTGTGCACACCCTGCAAACATAGTACCTTTAATGTCCAAAGACTGCCTTACAATATTAGCTAAAGATTCAACAATCAAATTAAATAGCAAGGGCAAAAGAGGGTAGTCAGAACTCAAAGGAGGCTGAAATCATTTGATTTATTATTACTTTAGTGCAGGGCTTCAAATAATGAACTTCAATCCAATAAACAAAATTCCTTGGAAAATCGTATCTAATCATCGTTTGTTTTAAAAATGTAATTATACCAAATCAAAGGCTTTTTTTTTTAACCTAAAGATACTAGTACAACACAGTCCATTCTATAGAGGAGAGTATTTGTAATTCATGGTTGAAATGAATGTTTTTTTATACTCTCTGAGCTTGGTTCTTTTCCTGCAGTCTTAGGTACATCCAATAAATCAATAAATATAATTTTACTAAACAATTACATTTTTAATAAACTGTGATTGTACATGGCCATAAAATTTGCAAATGCATTGTACCATTCCACTGAAAAACCACCTGGGCCAGGACTTTTACTGTTTTGCAACAATTGTATAGAAATATGTAATAGAGACAGAGGCGTTTTCAGAAGTTAAATCCATAAAGTATCCTTATCAAAAATCAAGAATATTTTTAAAGTAGACACTACTGGGATATTTCAAAAATGGACCAAGGAACTAGAAAGAGCCAAAATGCCCCTTCAATGGCTTCGTATTCTTATAAATATTAAAATGGTATCAACAGATTTGAAATTAAAGCTAATTCATAAAAAAGTATATTTACAATAAATGAGAACATCCCAAAGAATATACTCAAAAACATCAGAATTTCTTGTTGAGGATGTAAAAAAATTTAAGGGTTCATTGAACATATGATACTTTCTTAAAATAGTATTTTAATGCACATAAGTAGATTTATGGGGAAACCTTTAAATGTTAAAGAAGTTAATGTGATGTTGAATTATTCATCAAAGCTTTAGAATCAGACTATCTATAAGGAATTATGACTGTACAGTGCATGTGGGATGTCTAAGAATAATAATGAGAAATTGAGAAAGTGAGATTATTCCAGATGTTAGGTTAGTTTTTAGAAATGTGCAACTTATCTGTTCTGGAAAAGGTAATATTTTCCACCAAAGGATGAGGCAGTATGTTCTTCTTTGGCACAGATTTTATATTTTAAATAATATTTTGCATCTGATTGTACTATAGTATTATATAATATTTTATAATATTTTTAGTAATTTGGTGGCTGTAAGTTTAATATAAGACCTTTTTCATTTATTTGTTTACTTTTTAACTTTAAGGATTGCTTGGTTTAAGTTAGGTCTTGTGGTGTTTCTTGGTATTCTATCTGCATCTTGCATGCTTTTAAAATAAAAAATACTAATCATAAAAAGACAAAAAGATCATATGCAATAAAAATAGCAAAATCTTGCAACTATAAATACTAGACTACCAATAAAAAATCCAAGCTGCATACCACACCCTAGCATAATCTACTTCAAATAACCTGTAGAACAATGGGTTTAACCAGATTTCTCCATACATCCATTCCACTGGTGCTTTGATTTTTTTCTATTTATCTCTCCTTCACTTCTTTTTTCATTCAAGCTTTTGGCAAAGGAGAATGAAACTGCTCACTTTATCATTCTTGCCAACTTTGATCTTTTATTGATTTTATTGTAATTTCTTTGATTATTGAGGCAGCATACAAGTTTAATAGACCAGAGTAGGCATTTTTATCTACCTATAGAGTCTTTCCCAAGCACCTGGGATCGGGAGATGTTGTTTGATAGTGTGAAAGGTACTGTCACAGGATGTAAGCCGTTCCAAGCAAAGCTATCCTTTGCAACTGATTGATGGCGATTTTGTCAATGCTGATGGTATTGAAGTGGTGCATCTGATGTTTTAGGAGTGCATCCAATCCCTTCTTCCTCTTTCACAAATTTGGGATAGAATACCTTATTACTTTGGGCAAAATTTTTAAACTTAATTTCAATTTACTCAATTTGCTAATACAGGCAGCCCCCGGGTTAAGAATGAGTTTGATTCCTAACTCGCTCATTCACTTGAATTTGTATCTAAGTCGTACTTACAAATGGACTGCCCATTACTACAAATGATGGACGGCATTCACCTTCCTCAAGCCAATGAACGGCTGAAGCTGCGCAATGTTTTAAAGAACTGTTGAAAACAGGCTGTATTTTAAAAACGCACAGCTTCAGTAGTTTATAAAAATATTGTGAAGATTCAGCGGTTCGTTGGCTTGAGAAAGGGTAGTGCGTCTGCCAGTTTTAGTAATAGGCAGCTCATTCGTAAGTACGGGTTGTCCATAAGTCAGACGTTCTTAAGCCAGGGACTGTCTGTACAAAACCAAACAAAATATATTAACATTGGACATATTGAAGGATATTTTCGAACAATGGAACCAGAAGCTAATTTTATCTATATCTGAGAGGACAAGGATTATCTGACTTGATTGTGACTACTTTGAAAGTGGATTTAAAAATGACAGACTGGAAGAATGTCATGGGAAAAAAATGTTACACTGGACATACAAAAGAAGCTGCAAAACTAATAAATCTTTTGTTTCGTAACAAGTTACTATTTTACATTAAAACTTCCTCAGGCATTCTACAACTGATAACAAAAAATATCCTCAGGAGTCTTTACTCTGATTTTTAAAAATCTTTTGAAAGTAAAATACAATCCTTGGAAATTGATAGGATTTAATTTTGTAAAAGGAAACTGATTCTTAACAAGTCACCATCTTCTACATGTTAAACAATTTTACCTTTAACCAGCTTTCTGCCAATTTTCCCAGAATGAAAATTAAGAGCCTCTAATCCCAGACATCTACAAGATTTATTGCTTTCATAAAAATGACAAAAGCAGCACTGTGACCCAAGCTCAGTGTCCTTCAATATGTACAACAGAGCTTCATTTGGACAAAGGGGACAAAACACTGTTTCACACACAACTTTTGAAGTTATCCCCTTTCTGTCCCCCCACTCCATGCTATTGCCTCTAATCTCCTAGATCTGCTCTGTATCTTTTTGAAAACGTATCAGCTACATTTCTGGCATCTCACCTAGAATCTGATCTTGATGACATGTTATGTATTACTTAGAAGAGAATCAATTTCATGTTTAGAGTATGTTGCAATTTGAATACAACTTACTGGGAAGCCCATGTCTGTAAGCTGTTTTATCAGACGATTCATGATCCAGGCCTCATCTTGCTTACTAGGTGTCTTCATGCCCTAGGAAATGAAAAGAAGTAAGAAAACCAAATTCTAAAAATATGTACTTAGAAACAGTCTATTGTGTTTAATGAACTTTACTCTAGCACTGTTCTACGTAGCTTGCAAATCTGGACAACTATTAGATGGCAGCAAAGAAAATACTGAGCTTTTTGTAACCCTAATAGTAGCCCTGCCTCATTTCCTCCTAAGTAGATACAGGATTGCAGCCTAAATATTTATATTTCCCTTAAATTATCACTAGGGCCAAGTTTGAATATAGTTACTATAGTATAATATTTTGAATATGGAATAGTTTTAACCTGGCAGTAAATAGAAACTGCAGTGATTTTTGGGTCTACCACCAGGTTCCTCTCTTCTGCTGCTATGGAGATGCTTTTTTATTAATCTGAGCAACCTATCACGTGAGATTAACAATTTTTGTTAATTAACTTATAGGTATTAATATAAACTTTGAGGTCTTAGTAAACTGTAATTAATGAACAAATGCAGTAAATTATAGTTTAATCCCAATTTCAAATTAACCAACATTTAAAATCCCTCTGTTAGACATATGGAGGAAATGTTTCTTTAAAGATGAAGGCAGATACATCTTATTGGAAAAGTAGAAAATGGAAAAGTGGAAAACTAAATTTGCAAAAGCAAGGCATGCTGCATTTTGTGCATCTGACAATAAATTTTGAGCTTTTTATTTTAGTGCTTTAAATTTATTTTATTTTTTAATGTATTTAGTTATTCTGAAGCAATGTACAAAACTACAGAATAAAAATTAAAGTATAACAACATTACAAAATTAATACAAAAATAATAGAAATTGGAGGAAATGGGGGAGGAAAATAATGTTTTATGGATATTTCTTGGGGGGGAGAGTAGTATTCTATACTTAGATTGTTATTTTGTTTTATTCACTGTAAGCCAATAAGAGTTGATTGATTAAGGTGGGGGATAAATCATATCATAAATATAAATACATACATAATCTATGAACAACTAAATAAATTACAAGCCCCCCCAAAATCATCTTAGTAAGTCTATCAGTGTCCTATATTGCTTCACAAGATCAAGATTTTAGTGGACACCTAAATTGTGTTTGTATATATGTTAATTCAAGAATCAGAATACTAAAATTAGTAATATTTCTGGAATAATCTTCCCATAGGTTTAACTAAATAATTCGTATTTTATTAGGTTTATGAGCCATGCCAGTCACAAACAATTCTCCTCCATATATCAAGATGTAATATAACAGTGAGGCTTCCTTGAGAGATAAATGATAATTTCAATATTTATATTCATCCAAATGGGCAAACTAAACCCATAACTGATATGACCTGCAGTAATGGCAAATGTTCTTATTAAAAATATAAAGCAGAATGTATCTGGCAAGATTCCGGCTATTATTTATAAAGCCCCTAATAGCCTGGGTCCTTGCTGGCCTGGGGTTCTTCTGCTCCAGGTAGAATCTGCCCATCAAAAAGGCAGGGGTCAAAAGAGCATGCTGTAGAGCCTTCTCTCTTAAGGTGTGATTGAGATATGGGTCTCTGACCTTTTCAGCTGTACCACCCTCACTCTGGAACTCTTGTCTGCTGAGATGTGACTATAGGCAACTGTTTAGTAGTCTAATTCTTTTGTATTGATGTGATTGTTGTAATATGATTTTAATAAAAGTTTATGGTTCTACACAGAATATATGCTGCTTAGAATTAGTTAAGTATATCTGCTTTGGAATACCAGGCCCATACAACAACATACAACAAAAAAAACCTGGAAATAATGGTTATTACTCTTCTATAGAATAATAAAATATGCTGGTCTATAACAATAATAACTGAATTATTCAATAAAGAAAGCAGTATCATTGCTTGAATCATTTGACTGTTAAATTGTTGGTACTTGTGACCCAGCTGTTTCAGTCCTACCTTCTGAAGTCCTTTCTTAGGGGCATTCCCCCAGGAGCTACAAGAGGAATTGCTCTCTTGTGAAGCAGTATTATTCCACATATCTCCTTCTTCATCTTCCCACTGACTTGTACTGAGATTTACTTCATCTCCACCACTGCCCCAGCCTTCTTGCATAGAAGATTTAGAAGCTATGGGGGGAAAAGGAAGATTTAAGTAAGCTTTCCTAGTCTCTTTAAATCTTGCTTTCTCTAATCATAGCAACACCATATTTTACTTTAGTGGTATAAAATTGGAGAGCCTACAGATGAATCAACAAAAACAACAACAATTCTAAATGCCGACACATCTTTCATCTTCCACAACATAAAAGAATACCTATTTAAACTGAAAAAGAATGTAAAAGCAGGAATATTATTTCTTCCACCTTAGCCAAGCCAATCAATGAGCAACACATTTTACCTGGTTTGCACAGTGCTGGGGCAGCAGCTGGTGCGCTCACTCTTCCATATGTCCCTGCTGACTCAGCAGAGTTATCTCCCCACCCTGTACCACTGCTAGGGGGCTTCCCCCAGGCTGACGTGCCATTATCAACTGCAGCAGAAGGGGAGGAAGGTTCTCCCCATGAAGCTTCAGGCTTTGCATGGACAGCAGGCATCTCTCCCCAACCTGCTGAAATCAGAAATTAAAAAAAAAACCACGTTGAAAGCAAAACACAGAATGAAGTGTTAATATGACATGTTTAATCATTTTATTTGAAAAATTATGGATAACGTGAAACAAGCTCAGACAAAGTTTAGTCACCTAAGGTAAGATTTGCTTTTCTTAAAGGAAGATTCAAAAATCACTGCATTACAGTAAGAATCCTTTGCTAAATCTTTTCCCATTCAAATATATTCACAATTTACTAAGTTATAAAAATTGTAACTTTTATAACTTATAACTAAGTTATAAAAAAAATATTAAGCTTCCATAATAAGCAAAAGCATCTACTCATTCATTTGGATGACTGAAATCGCAAACATTTTCTAATCCACTCAAAGTAAAACTCTAAAATTCACCCTGAGAAAAACAGTGCTGGCTTCATCCATAACTTTTAAAAGGGCTTTTAAAATACACTTTTTCTCTCTGATTTTTAATAAAAATGTTTTTTCTATGCTATGTGCTACTCTTACACATTTGATGTAAATTTTACAACTATTAAGTTTAACACACTTATTTCTATATAGTATTTATTTGTGTATCAATTTTATTATTTTTATAAATAATTCAACATATCTAACACTCTCCTCCTCCTATTTTCCCCATAGCAATAACCCATGTTTCATATATCATGAAACAATAATTTTTAACCCTTAAACTGTCTATTTTGAATAAGCCAGTCTGATAACAGTTATTTTTTTTTAAGGAAGCATGTTTAATTTTATTGCTATTTTGGTAGAGAATTCAAACATCTTGTAGTCAAATATATAAAAAGGCAAGTTATTTCTACAGAATGAAATCTCTTCAGTAGTGTACATCCCAAAATTAGGGTGGTGGAAGGGGTTCAAGACCTTTGCCCAAATCCCTGTTTATCCATCAGTTAGAAACATTGGGACAAGTCCTTATCCAAGAATAAAGGAATGAGTTTAGAAATTTATCACAAGGATAATAGGGTCTACCTAGCACTTTGTACATTAAAACTGGTGTGGAATACTAAAACAATCACAACAAGAAACCCCAGAACATGGTTGACTGTTTATTTTCAACCATATGGCTATGTTGCATAATGTGGCCTTTTAAAAAAAAATTGGTACAGAAGTAGAAAGGTTTTGAAAAATTGAGGAAAGAAATGAAAAGCAATGCAATAGGGAATAAGGGGGTTTATGGGAAAAATGCAGAAAAGAACTTAGAATAAAATCATAACAGAATGGACATAGATAGGAGTGTTTCATAAAGTAGGAGCTCTGAAGTAAGGAACAAATATTTATATATGGATTTGAGGTTGCTCCTAACAGGACTTGATTTATTATATAATCATATCCTGCCATAATTACACTACCATTCAGGAAATTAAGTACAATTAAATATTACGAAAGAAGCCACTAAAGAGGTAGTAAATACTATGTAAATAGACAAACTTCAAGGAAATAAAATAGCACAAGTCTGATAAAATAAATCATAATTCACAGGTTACTTTGCCAAATAAGGAGCTATAAAGTGGAACTTCCACTTTAGAAGAAGGAAAAATATGAAAGGTTATAAGCTATAGATTGAATGCATTCTTCTCCAAAACAGCATAGCCTAGTTTGTAAGGGATTTTTTTTAAAAAAAAATATTCCCCTTTAAGAACAGCTGCTGGGAAGATATTAAAATATCTTCTAATTCTAATAGGTATTATTTTAAAAGCTTTCAGCTTCTCCACTGAATCAGGCTCAATACAGTAATAATACTGGAACATCTATTCATTTGTTAAAGAAAAAGATCGGTTTCCCAGGCTTCTCTTTAAATTCAATAATTATTAAAAACAATCAATCTGTAAGGTATAAATAATCACTAAATACATTGTGTATTGAGCCACATATTATGTAAATTATTGCTCACAACAAGGGAGTTCATGTCATGCCAAATTAGTTATAATTATATGACAACAATAACATGCATTAAGACACTCATTGTTTGTAAAGTTCTCCAGAGATCAAACTGAATGCAAAAAAATTGCAAAGTCACAATGATGGTTAGTATGAAAAATCTTAAATAATAAGTTGAGTATTGCTGATATTTAAATCCTGTGTGGGGGGAATCCAAATTCTACTAACGTTTTAAGAATAGCTATGAATATTTGCACTATTTATATATGCTATAAAACACTACAACCAAGCAAAAAAAAAAAGGCTTTCATGTTTTTTCATTGGCTCAATATGGAAAATGACAGAACACCATTGAAGAGGGAAAATCACAAGATACTGGAAAGATTACGTATACAAATTATTCAGATAAAATAAATCAAAGCTGAATTATTTTATCTGGAAAATTTTTGAATGTAATCTAACAAACTAAACTGATTCATATAGCAAAGCATTCTTGCTGATCCAAATAAGAACCATTCCATAACAATTATTTGAACTTCCTTACAATCTTCAGGTTGACTTAACTGTAAAAAGCTATACCTGACAGTTTGATGATATAATAGGACAGCTTTAACTGTTTTTAAAAAGGTGATTAATGGAGACTAGCTCTTTAATCAGCTATGTATTCTCAAATGAACTAAAACAAGCAACACTGCATTTATACAATGGTAACCTAAAAAGAAATGTAACCTTACAGATAGTTTCCTAACATTAATAGAATCAATTAATAGAATACATAATGCTTAATGATTAATATAGTTCATATTTGTTTGAATATGATTAATATAGTTCATATTTATTTGAATATTCTAGGAGTATTCTAGGATTACTAGATATAAAATAAAGTAATGGTATTCTTAACACAATATATCCTATTCTATTGTAATTTAATAATGCTACTTTATTTCAGAATTTTTAGGAAAAACCAATAAAATACTATCTCAAATAAACTTGAGGAAATACCCAATCATCATTCAAAGACATAAAATATATGTCAATAAAGTTTCAAGGAGTCTCATAATTAAATCCCATCTCCATTACTATAGTTTTTAGTTCTCCATTCAAAATGATATTAAATGATCTTCAAAACCATCCACCCAGCCTGATACACAGTATCAGAAATGTGCTGTAGAAAAGCATAAGCCCTGTCCCTTCACCATGTCAATAATCATTAATTAATATATTTAGTAAGACTAATATAAAATCAAGGTCACATAATGTTATTTCATCAGTATACAAACTGGAGTCTGATGATCCCCCAAAATTTCAGCACTTTTGTAGCACCAACTACACAATCTGAGGAACATTCATTTAAACAACTAGACAGTGGATTAGGGAAAGTGACAGAGTACTGCTCCTGCTCGTCGAAATTGCTTTTGTTGTGATGGCAAGCAGTGCCCTCATAGGGTATTTTAATAATCGCTTTAGGTGTCTTTCCTTAGACCAGGGGTAGGCAACCTTGGCTCTTTTATGACTTGTGGACTTCAACTCCCAGAATTCCTGAGCCTTAGACCAAGACAGGCTAAATATAGTGCCTAATTTGACATAATGGTGGCACATATTACTTCAAGATTGCTGAACAGACAATGAAGGGCTGCTGATGCTATATCAAAGGCTGTCTGATTTTACAAATCTTTGGAGAAATCAGAGATTGCGTGCATGAAGCACCAAAGAGTCTTCAGCTTCAGATGTAGCTATAAAAAGAAGCCTACAGATATGACTGTGGATAGCTATGATGAAATTTTGGGGAGGGGATTGCCCTTGAGGAAAAGGGTTGTCCTGCAGCACCCAGTGATTTTCGTAACAGGAGATAATCTAAGAATGTTTACCACTTTGACTTTTACCTCTTCTGTCTTTTATATACTAGCTTGATTAAATATTTTATTTCTCCATGTGTTTACCAGAAACACATTTTTGCTTTTTTTCCCCTACACACTGGTGTTGCATATATGTTATTTGAGCTACCCAATAAATGTGAATCTTTATCAATTCATGGAGATTGCAATAAGCAAAATACATATTATAAAAAAACCCTTTGTAATCCATCAGCCTAGGCGATTGGCAGAAAAGGTTTCTTCTGCTGCCCTTACAGGCCTGGAAGTATTGTTTGTGGTGAGGGAATATTTGGATAAATGTATGCAGTTGCCCTAATCTGTTCTCAACTGCTTAAGCACATATGCAGCTTATTGGCTTGATCCTTATTCCTTTGATTAAACTATTTAATGCTTACTTAATATGATTTATATTCACTTTTCTGCAGACATTCCATGAACACATTTCTATTTTATTCCAAACTATTAGGTATTTCATACAATTACAAAAATACAAACTGAAAATTCTCCTTCTCATGCTTGATCCTTTTATTCCAAGCAGAGTACAATACTGCAGCTGCCTACACTCCAGTTCCACTTGAGTAAGTAAATAGATATTTTAAAACTGAAAAATAATTGGAAGAAACAGTGGCTATCACATCTAATCAAAACATATTTGATCATTCCTAGAGATATGGCACCTCATATTTATGAGAAATGGGTAATTCCTATTTATAATGAATGGATGAAATGGGAAACTGTTTGCTTTAAATATTTGTGCTATCTCCTCTGCTTCAAAGGAAACACAGAAAATGGCACAAATACATTTCAACTAAAACTAAATAACAAAGAGTTTTAAGTATGAGCTGAATTCTTCCTGTAGCAGGCTAAAAAGCTAAAACCTGGAGAGAAGAAGAAAGGATTTGGAAGTTTTCAGACATTTCATTATGATGTTATCAATGTTTTTTGCTGCTATTGTTTATTTAATACAAGTGCTTTCCAATATTACCATGTAAAAATGTCCTTATAAAAGCTAATGAGTTAAAAAAAGTTGACTCCAATAATTAAGCAGATTTTAGGCTAACAATAACTGAAGAAATATTTCCTTGGGGGGAAAAAACCACACAGATGTAGTACCTGATTGCACTACCAGATGCAGTATCTGATAATGACAATCAAAGACTAAACAAGAAACAAGTCATGCGAGAAAACAGAACTAAGAAAAGAGGAGAAATAACACAAGTTATGAAGAGTATTTTAGGATCAGTTATGTGAAGTGCTGATGGACTATTATGGTCATATGAAGTTAAATTGAACTGTTAATCTATGGCCCTAAACACATTTATTTGGTTATATGTATTCTGAAGACAGGAGTTACTAGTGTCTCTACCCAATATGATTTCTTTGCACTTTTCTACTTTTTCTTAGAACAAGGAATTTGTGATGCTTTTTTTTTTTAAATGACAGTGTTCCACAGATTCATTTTGTTGGACATTGTTTCAATTTTTTTTACAATCCTGCTGATCATTTAAATCTATGTAATTACATTGCTTTCCTAATTCCAGCACACTTACCTGAAATTAAGCTTTACTCAATTTATTATTTTATTTCGAGCAGCTATGGTTAGAAGTATATTGTCAGCCTTTCATACCTGCTCAATTTTTGCACTTTGGATGAAAAATAAATCAGTTTCATGCAAGCAATATATTGGCAACCATATTTATACCTTGTATTTTCATCTTAAATATTAACATATATTTAAGATTGAGTACATAAGTTAACAGATATTATTACTTCACGCTAAAAAAATCAAAATATGTATCCTACCTGGGCCAAGCAGAGGGGACCGGTTTGACTGGGCACTTGACTGGTGCGGTGGCTGAGGTTCAGCCATGTTTGCGTTGATAGTGGTGGTAGTGGTGGTAGCTGTGGTACTGCTCTGGATTACAGAATTGTTTCTGTCCCACATATTTACAGTCTTGTTGTTATTGTAATTTGGATCACCCCAAGCTGAGGTACCATCATCTATCTCCATCTTGCGCCGAATGGAGGGTGGAGAGGGCTCTTCCCACCCAGTTGCGTCACTGTTATCTTTCTGTTTGGCTGGGAGTGGTCCACCAACCCATCCTGATCCAGTCTGTTTAACAGAAGCAGCTCCTCCCCAATTACTCACATTGTTGTCCTGGGATTTAGAAGCCCAATTTTGTTGGGGACCAGATTTTAAAGATTCCCCCCAGCTTGTACCTGTATTAACTTTGCTATTTGTGCCATTTCCCCATCCACTGGTCCCAGAACGTGTAGTGTCATTCCAACCAGACCCTGATCTGTTGTCAGCATCCCATCCAGAACCATTCTTTTTCCCATCTCCCAAGTGTCCAGGGATAGATGAGGAATCAACCCAATCTCCACCACTTGAAGTCCAGCCTGGATTTGATTTCTGTCCCTCTCCCCAGTTTTGAGATTTGGGTTTCTGAGGTTCCCCCCAAGTAGGCGACTTGTCCTCCTGATTTGTGGTCCCACTCCAAGTGTGGCCACTTTTGGCAGCAGCAGCATTATTGACAGCAGTTGAATTTGTTAGCTCTCCCCATCCCCCAGGGCCGTTTGGCGCTTTGTTATTGTTATCTCCCCAACCTGTATTAGTTGGAACAGATGCAGGTGGAGAGCTGACCCACCCAGATACTGAAGAGGTATTTGTACTGTTCATGATGGACCCATCATTCTTGCCCCCTGCATTTGAAGGCTGAGTAGCTGCACAACCCCAGGCCTCAGTTCCATTGTCGTTCTTTCGTTCAGACCTTGGAGATTCTTCAAATTCCCAGGCAATGTTTTGTTTTACAGGCGTCTGTCCCCATCCAGTGTTGGAAAGAACCCTTGGATCAAGGTCATTCCTTGGCAGTTGGACTTGTCCTTGGTCTATTATTCCCTTGTCTCTTCTTCGACACTCTCCAGGGCCTTCTCTTCCAGTACCGCCTTCATTTTGACTTCCATTGCTATCATTACTTCCTTCACTACCTGTGTTGCCAGTTGCTGCAGCTTTGGCCCAAGAGTTTATTTGATCATTGCCCTGCTGCATGGCAGGATTCTGGTTGGTAACACTAGAGCTATCCCACCCTGTTGATCCTTTTCCACTGATGTCATTACTGGAATGCTGGTTTGGGGGTTTGCTCCATTCACCATTAATACCATTGCTAGCGCTGCGGTTTGAATGTCCCCAAGCACCAGAATGCATACTACCAACGCTATTGTTGCCATTGCCCCTGCCCCATGCTAAGACTCCAGGACTGGCAGAATCCCACGCACTTGTTCCATTCCCTTCCTTTTGCACAGCATTGCTGGATCCATTTTGCTTAGCACTTAATGCTGAGTTCACAGTGTCTCCATTCCCCTGACTGAACCCAGAATTGCTGTTTCCTGTGGCAGGATTATTTGGGGATATTCCCCACACTGAATTGCCCATTCCTTCACCACCACCCCCACTGACTTGAGAAACTGATGTCCCATTAGCACCAGGAAGGCTTTGCAAATGGGGTGGGATGATGGCCCCCATGCCAACAGCCATGCCCCAGTTTGGCAGTCCATTTGTCTGCATTGCATTGATAGGGTTTGGTGAAGAGTTCATGGGGTTAGTGTTATTTGGTCCATCAGTGTTAAGGTTCTGAGGTTGTACGCTGAAAGACACATTCTGAGAAGTGGACGTTTGTGGTTCTGTGCTCTCTTGTGGCAACAAGTTTCCCCAAGCACCTAAGGTGCCTGCTGGGTTCCCATTCTGGTTGCCCATGTTCTGACCTATGGCACTGACTGGACTGCAAATACTGGAAGGGTTGCCTGCTCCCACAGTTCCCTCATGTCCAAGTACAGGCCAGGCAGCTGGATTGGCATTGGGGTTAAGGTTAAGATTAATGCCAGCATTTGAGTTGGAAGCACCCCAGCAATTCTGACTTCGACCATCTCCAATCATGTTGTCCATCTTTCCATCCCCACCACTGGCAGAGCAGTGAGCTAAGCCAGAGTTAGAATTGGTGGCAACACCCCATACTCTGGTGGAGTTTCCATTACCATTTGCTCCCCCAGCTCCAAGGGCACTCTGGTTAGAAGTGCTTTGGATGAGTGCTCCATTGGTGCCATTATTGCCATTGGGTTTCTTTGTATGTCCAGTGAAGTTGCCTTGGGCACTCCCTGTAGCCATGCTACTATTCTCAGAGCCACAGTTGGAGGCAGAGTCAGTGTCTGTAGTACATTCTGAGGCAGACTCAGTCTCAGTTCCTGTAATGGAAGGCCACGCTTCCTTGTCAGTCCTGTCTATTATCACTTTATCCCAGCTGCAACTGGGTTCACTTCGGAAAGTGGGCTGCTGTCCCCAGTGAGTATTCTCATAGTTGTCTCCCAATCCACTGTGGCCAAGGTCTGTAAAATCAAATATTATGCAAATTAATCTGCTGACAATGACCAAATATACAAGTATGGCTTATAACAATATTTTCACACACATTTCCAATCCCAAAGCCTGTCATCACATCTGAAAAAAACAAAGCCTACATGATGGCATAAAAGATATGTTTTAGAAAGGTGAAGTATAGATTTTTCTATATATTGAAATATAATCTTCCATGGTACAGTAATGCACTAAAAATTCCAAACTATGATAAAATAACTCTTCTCTATACTAATACATCCAACGTTTTAGATACATTCAATACTTAGATACCTCTTATAAGACTCAACTAATAAAACCAACTTTCTTAACCTATACTGTGGGGCATTCAAGCTCATATATTTTTCTATAACTTACAAAAGTTAAAAGTAAATTATATTAGTTTTTATCAAATGATTTTAATATTTCAGCAGATTTATAAAGGCAATCAATTCTTATAAGACTGTATAATGTGCCTTAAATCTTAGAAAACTTATTGTTGTATCGCAGATATTTAGGACTTGAACTTAGAAGCAATAGGCCTAATAGATCCAACCATTACAATGATGTTACTTTCAAGATTTTTTAAACACTAAAATTAAAAAGATAGAAGAATTAGTTGTTTAAGTGAAAATTAAGACTTGGATGTAATGCTTAGTATTTCATGCCTTTAAATGACATTGCAATGTGGGCAGAAGGGTCAATAGAATCTTGACCCATGAAGAAAAAAAGGGCAAGCGGTCCTCTTACTTAATGTCTTAATCTAGCAAAGTATAATGTTAGCTTTTGAGACTAGGAAAAGCAAAGAAACTAGAGTAGTAGTTTGAACTACTTGCAAAGAGTTCAGGGGAGGCTGTTCTTGTACGTATACAGGACATTTTAAATATTAATAAATTAGCTATTTCTAATAACATTTTTTTTCTGCAATATGAATTACTATTAAATGTAAACTACATTTTCTGTAGTTGTCAGATATTAGTTGGGATTTTGAGAAAAATCTCAAACCAAGAGAAAAAAAATGATATTTAAGTTTCAATAAACAACTGGTAATTTTTCATTTTTTTAAAAAACAGCTTGAATCTTTTAGGGATGAAGTGATAAAAACTATATCTAAATTATGATTCATTAAAATAAAAACTTAGCAGTACAATACTCTTTATACTGAAAAATTAAGGATGTTTTTAACAGTTAAACTCTACATTTTGTTTCTTATTTATTTAAAAGACCAGTTAAGGTATTTTAAAAGGCAATATTCTAAGTATATAAATTAGATAAATAAATAAAATTTCTATAGCAGAATAAAAACAAAACTTAGGTACCATAATGTGAATATTCAGGATGAAGACAAAAAAAGTTTTTTAAAATACACAAAGGATCTCTTTTAGTCTGTAAAAGTTTATTATTAAGAGGCTCCACCTGATTTCCATAGCATGTATAACCTGAGGGTCAAATTCTTTTTTGAAAGTGTTAGAAATCTATAAGAATTTGGGTTGGGTTTTTTAATAATAATAGATGAAGTATTTATCTCTGTGTTCTGAATTTTGCAACTATAAACATTTAGGTGGAAATTGCACGTTCATCCAACAAGAAGTACTGTATAAAAGCTTATATTCTAAGACTGTGCCAGAAATACTAATGCAGATATGAAAGAGTTAAGGGATAGCCCAAAATAAAACAGCTTCATTTACAGACAGAATCCAATACTAAGCCACACAAGTGGAAACACCTAATTTTCTTTTCTTTTTTTTCCCTTCTCTTTTTGCCACGGTATGCAACGAAGTATGCTCCCTCTGAACCTTTAATGCATTCAGGAAAAGAGCTGAGCAGCATAAAAGAGAACATTCTTCATTATTAGATAATGAGTACTCTGTGAAATACTAACACTCCAAAACCAAACAGCAGTAGATAACAACAAATAATAACTTCATTTTTCTGCCCAGCGCAGCATATCTATAGCAAGCAGCTCTTTCTCTGAGGACGCCATTTTATCAAACCTGAAAAGCAGCCAAAAGCTTAGGACGCTGTGCTGCTGCTGCCTCTAAAACATTATGTAATAAACTGATTTAACAGAAGCAGATGCTATATGCCCCCCTCCCTTTTTTTCCTCTTGTTGCTCTAAAGGGGCCAATGAGTAATAAAATACCTGACGAAAGGTGACGCCCAACCATCCTAGAAGACGCTACATTGTGTACAGAGCTGCCTCTCCTTCTGCATCTAGGTTCGCCTGGACTCTCAGCTTCAATATGTCTGCTGTGTTGAGAGTGAGCCTCATCCTGTAGAGCTGCCAAGAAAACCGCTCACTGCAAGTGTGCACCCAGACAACCTGCAAGCTTGCTCAGGCCTTAGCTCTGCTAGCCTTGGAAAATGCTCTTTCTATACAGGCAAACTCTTCTACTCCCCCCCCTCCCTCCAGCATATAGCCCCCTTAGCTCTGGGTAAGACATCAACAGATGAGGATTTAAAAGCTTGATTATCTAATTGCAGCTGACATTAAACCGATCTTGCTTCCTCCTTAAATTCTTTCAACTGTCACAGAACATTTTCAGTTCGAAACCTAGCCACAATTAGCACGGTGGCTGCTTTTCTTCTGGTTTTGAAAGTCAGCCAAAAGAACAGCCGCATATTGCTGATTGGCTACATGCAAACACATTCCTGCCTCCTTCGTATTTCCACCCTCCTCTTCCCATCCTTAAAAAGAAGACGACGGGCTGTATACTTGGCAAACAAGCACCAGTAATGATATTGGAGGGGAAACCTGACATAAAACCAGGTAATTCCCCAGAGCCTTTAATTGTTTCTCGGCTTTTATCAAGAATGTAGAAAGTGTGCAAGTGCATTAAAACCCACAGCTTTAGTCTGTGAGCGTGTGGAATTGTAACTACACGCCTCGGAATGACAAAACAAACTGCAGCGCTTTTTCCCTTCAATATTTCCATCTGTTCTACCATGGAGGCGGAAAGATTTGTTTTCTAGTTAAGGCTTTTTAATTTTGTTTCTCATCTTTTACTAAACACTGGGTAATTTTCATATGAATGATGATACCAATATCTGATCCAAAATATAACATTTTCAAACTAATAAGATACAGAAAAATAATCACTGTTACCTCATTGACTTGGAAGGAAGCAGCCCTGAACCCCTCCGCTTAAGATCAGAAAAAAGAAAAAAAAACCTTTTTATCTCATTCATATCTCACTAAGCACATGTAGGTGCATATTTAACTTTCTGCAAACTTAGCTATATTTTTTTCCCCTTGTTTACGGATCAAATTATCACTACTATCACAAGTTAGCAAAATAGTTAGAGATACTTTTAAAACTATGCAAACATTATTGTGAAAAGACAGAAGTGCAACTGAACAAGATTTCAATAGTTAAAATTGTAAATATTAACAGCAATAATTTTCTGCATAATGTAACAAGACTAAAAATATTCTGAAATTTGCAAGTTATATACATTTGAGCATATGATGGATAATCTTCTAAAAAGAGATATTATGTATCATGGTATCTCTGGCTATATAGATAGTCTTAATTTAACAAGCACCTGTTCAGCAAATATTCAAACTTAAGGCTGCACTGAATGAGTGATAATGATGGCTCCTTGCAGTTATGGTCTTCGCAGTGTCCATAAAGCCACATAATTGCAATCCAGACACTTGTCAATTACTTTGCAGCATCTCACGGCCATGCAATCACCATTTACGACCTTTGTTGCCTTCTTCCAACAATGGGAAAGCCAGCAGGATATTGCAAATGGCAGCCATGTGACATCACACTTATTGGTGGTGCAGGATTCACTTAACAACAGCAACCGGAAAAGCCAGAATGGTTGTTGCTAAGCAACGAAATCACGTGACATTCCTTTTTATGATTATGTTGCTTAGCGATGCAAAATCTGATCGCAATTACCATCATTAAGCAAGTACTACAAGTTATAGCTCAGTCATGAATTTTGACAGTAGTTACACTGCTTTTTCTTGGTACCAAAGATTCATGGATATGGTTTTCGTATTTCATTCAGACCTTTTTATTACTTTTTTTTTCTTTTCATTTCTGCATTCTACATTTCATGCATTTGAACCAAGAGAGTATATATAATTCAGTATGTTTCCTTCACTGGGGTGAAATAAGTACATTAGGGAAATCCATGTAGAAACCAGAGAAAAATTCCAATAAAAAAGATAAACAAATATTAAATAGTATTAAAGTATTTATGCTGTCATTTCCAATAAAGCAAAGGATGACAAGGCAAATATCTTATTGTCAAATCAATTTAATTCTGTGTATTAAACAAACATTTGACTTCCCTTCCATTTACAAAAGTTTCCCATGTTAAGTTTTTGTTGGCAACAATGCTAGGAGGATGTAAGAATATCTTTCACACCATATTTATTCCTGGATTCTTATTTCTAGATTGAACTGTACAGTACAATTGTTGTTGGTTGGATATTTTTGAAAATGAAGCTAAAAAATATTTTAAATACTAACCATGTTATTTCCATTATTTAAACCATTGGGGAGAGGAGAGATGAGCTATGATTTATATCTAGCCACTGCTGGAAGAATCCCAAGCACCTATATACAATTTTCTGAAAATTTCTTTTAGATTTTCTAAATGCTTGCATTACGTTGCCCCAGAGTATCAGATCTTAAATGGGCCTTGCTTTTACATAAAGGGAGTTTGAAAGAATGTTGGCAATTATTTACTTATTTCATAAAATCATCAAATACACTATTTATATGCTTATTTGTAAGATCAATTAACTGTCCCAAAGGATTTTATATAGCTGTCCATCTCAGTGTGACTATGGGCAGCTTAAAGAGTTCAAAACACATGTGCAAAATACAACAATAACACCCCTCCCCAAAAAAACTCCCCATACTGAAGCACATTTAAAATAATTAAAAACTATTCAAACCTTTAAAAAGCCCATAACCAGTGAGCGATAAAGACATGTGATAAAGAGATTTATGGTGGAATGTGAAAGGAA